AAGGGACTATCCAATGTATCATTGTTGCTTTCATTCATATGACTAAAGTTGCATTTATGAAATTATTTTCATATAATAAATGTTTGGGGGTTGATGAACAATCTGAAATTCCAGAAGAGGGTCAATGAGTTGAGGAATTTGGCGATCCCTGCTTTAGACAAATGCTAATGTGTATTCCTCCTTAAATCTTCAAAATAAATATTGTATTTTCAGACATATTACATGCGATAATAAGATTGTTTAAATGGAACACTTTCGATTAACTTGCTAAGACATTGCTATGTTGTGAAAATCATCTTAAATCTGTCACTTGCCTCAAGAATGGCAGCGGCATCACTCCAATTATAGTTTAGATCAAATCTCCACACATTTCATCATAATTATTGAAAATGATAAATAAAATAAGTGTGGTCAGACTTTAGAAATTAAATTACTCTCGTCCTCACAATAACTGGAACAAATCTGGGGCATACGCATCCTTAACGGGAAATTCAATTGTATTTTAAGTGAAACTTTTGCTCTGTTATCAACTCTTTTATATTAGGAATTTGGAAAATGGTTTCTAAACAACTATGTGAGTGCCATACAGAGGAGATGGTCCTTAAGAAATCTTTATTAAAATTATATGAAGAGAGAGAACATTGCTCTCTTATTATAAGTGGTATTCAAGATGTACCTGGGACAAATATGCAAGAATAAACTGATAAAAGTATAACTGATGCAATGAGTGGGATGATAGTTGCTAATAGCTATGAGGTACTAGCCTGAGTAAAACCGGTTTTCCCACCGGCCAAAGCCTTAAAGGAAAGACACCGATATCCTACAATCACAAAGTTCCTCGGGCGTGACGAGTTGACAATAAAGCTGGATATCTGCTCACATCCCCTTAAAGAAGAAACAACAATGTCAGAAAAAAGACTTCTATGAAAAGTAGGTATGAGAAAAGGATTTTCTATTAAAAGACAAAAGTGGTTTATGCAAGAGGAGATGGACAATATATGGAAAACATTACAAAAATTAGAAAAATAAGGAAATCCTTTTCCAGCTGAATTCTTCTAAGCTCCTTACTTGCTAAATGTTACTTGACTATTTTATTCTTTTTTGTAGCATAAATTAAGCTTTAAACACAGAGTATGATAAAGAATAGTCCCTATAATACATATATATGCTAATTTTTTAAATACATTTTCTTCTGTTATGATTTGGGGAAAGCTTCAATATTTCCTCTAAGATTCTTTGAGGGCAACTGGAAACCACATGACCTAATTGTTACTTGATTATTCACATTATTCTGGTCATGGTATTAGAATGCCAAATTTAAACCAACTTCTATAACAAAATTTATTTTGTAATAATTAGGGTCCCTTGGTCTTAGACTTTTAACTATGATATCCTTTATCTTTTAATTTAAATATATATAATTACTACGTGTAAAATCTTCATCCTTCCACTCTGTATTAATTATCTCATTTGTAAATTATATGTGAAGACTTTGCGGTATAATATAGTAATAAACCTCGAAAGTTTAAACAGTTAAACTTTATGTATTTACTTAGCTTTTTATCCATAATGTTGTACTGTTTCCTCAGTACACACACATACATACATATACACACAGAAATATATCCTGTACTTTTATATCTTGAGTGTTGTCACAATTCTTTAATATCGAAGAACTGTCAATGAAACTTATTATAGTCACTAGGTAGGGCAAAAAGAAGAAGAAAGGAGCTCCTTACGTATTTACAATATTTCATTTGGGAAACAGATCCTTTTATCTTCCAGGTTTCTGAATATGGGCAGATCTATAGCCATAGGACAGCCACCTTAGCTCTGGGAGGGCTTCTGGCTCTTACCTAAATTACAACAGGCAAAAGTTCAGTAGATGCAAGAGAGCATGGCTGTGATAGAAAACATTCAGTTATTTAATGTCTTGCAACTGCATGTGGTTAAAGCTATAGGAGCCCATCAGAGAAGCAGCAATTGACAATCCTAGCCACTGAGAGCAGCATTAAGGAGACATTAAAGTAGCCTGGGAAACCAGAGATTGCTGTGCAATTAGGAGGGGATGAAAAGCAAAAGCTATACTGTACATAGAGGAAGATAACAGGGAGGGCTAAGAAGTGCCCATTCTGGAAAGAAAAGATAGATAGTTACAGGATGGCCTGCTACAATTAGCTCATGGTGAGTATTGTTGCCAGCTGACTCTATGCAAACATAAACAACTTTGGCAATTCAACCTCAACTATTTTTTGACTTACAGACTTTCACTTTAGAAGTTTTCCAAGGGGCACAGTTGGGTTCACACAACACAATTGTGCCACAACTAGAGTACTATCTGGCTTAGAATATAGTATATGAACCCAGCAAGAAAGATGATACTTTTTATTTAGTGAAATTTATTCTTTAGCTACTGTAAAAGGCACAAAACAGGGGGGGGGGGGCAAATGGAAAGTCCTCACAAGAGAGAGTCTATTTCAGGAGTCTCCAATCTTGGCAACTTTAAGCCTGATCGACTGCAACGCCACCAGGCTTAAAGTTGCTGAGGTTGGAGACTCCTGGTCTGTTTCACAACAAACAAAGGTTTGCTCCAAATGGCTTTCATAAAGGAAAGCTGAGTCTAAAGCAAAAAAATTAAATCGTGATTGCAAAGGACTTTTCTTTACTTTTCTTTATGGTCTTTATGCAATTAGGAGATACTTGAATTGCCAAACACTCATTAAATTTAGAGAACAGAAATCTGAAATAGTCGCAGAGCTAAGCCAGAAGGCCAAATCTGAGGTAATGATAATTGTGGCAGAAAAATTGAACAGCCTTAGTGCTAGATGGGAAGCAAAGTGCCAATGAAATCTGCCCTTCATGTTCAGAACCAGCATTAGAAAACAGATTCAGGGGGAGAAGGGACTTTAAAATGTCTGAAGATTACATATTCCTTTCCCCCATCCAAGGCAATGCAACTTAACTGCATTCACAGAATTAACCTCCAGTGGCAATGTGTGGATTATTGGAAGATGTGAAAGACCAAATTAGAGACAGATAGTCATGGAGAAATGTTGTGAAGTGACTAAGGGTTAACCATGACTGATGGCATATAAAAAAAATAGCTTGACTCCCAAAACATCCAAACATCCATGTTCCGTGCTTATATAATTTTGAATGATCACAAATGATCATGTGGCTTATTGTATAGCAAGGCGAAAGTGTGAGATGACTTCCTTTTTAGATTGAAATTCTCTTTATCCAGATAGGTTAAATCATCTTATTCTGTACTGTATGAAAGACAGTGAGCAAATGAATTAAGGGGGTGTAATGTAATAATACCAGTGGCTTTTTGAGGAATTCTCAGGGTGCGATCATTTTGGGATGTACTTTAAATGCAGGCATATTTTCCTATTTCTAGTTCCTGTTTTAGAAGACATTTTTTAAATTGTCACTGTAAACATACTGTACTAAAATGGAGCCTGTCCACTCCAGTTTCTTGACGAGGTTGTTTCAGTAAAGTTTACCATTGCCTTCTTCCTAGGGCTGAAAGAAACTAACTATCCCAAGATCACCTAGTTGGCTATGCGCCCAAGGTGGGACTAAATTTCTCACTCTCCCTGGGTTCTAGCCTGATGCCTTAACCACAGTAGCAAACTGGCTCTCAAATGAAGGCAAGGAGAGATAAATTCCCTAAATAAGAACTTGTTTTTCATTTATACTTGAGAATCTTCCAAAATGCAGCAGTATGTAAAACAGGTTGAGAGTGTTTGATTTGCATATGAGTAATGAGGCTCTTATGTAGACACCCTACAAAAGCAAAAGTATTTATATTAAAGCCAATGTGATTTCACTGCAATAAATTAGCTTCCCTCTAAAATTATTATTTTTTTAAAATAGGATTATGGACTTGGGCAGTTCAGTCATTCTCTCGTGATAGTCAAATTCTACTGCTAAAGTAAATTACATGAGAAAGTGCTAGTAGTATGGAGGGTACAGAAGTGTTTACAGTTGAAGGCAAATTCTCTGAAAAGGTTGAATGCAGCTATTGTTTCCAATGCTCATGCAATTCTATTTGATTCCATTTGAGCTGCGATGGCGTTTTGCCACCAATCATGTGCTCCAAAGGTGTGTCTACTCCATGCCTCCAAGCATGAGGTCCAGCACAGGCCAGATTGATGACTGAACCACACAGAATGTTCTCTCATCCTTTAAAAAAAATGATCCCTAAAAGAATCCTACTAGAAGATCCTTTGATGCAAGATCCTTCCATCAATATCATCGATTTAGTATTAGCAAGGACATTATATGGATGTGTCCATGACTTTGTCGCTATTTCAACATGATTTGAAGGAAACCATTTTTCCTAATAAATACTGGTAAACCACTGGACTCCAAGAACGTTTGATTACAGGGCAAAGCAAAATCCATGGAGAGAGTTGAAATGAAATTTTGAAGCACCATATTAAAACCGAAAAGGAATAAAGGACTCTTTCTGTGTAGGACCTGTTTTTTAACCAGCTCCAGGAAGCCAACTTCCTTCCTAGTCAATATTATTTCCTTATAGTTGCTACAGCTTTGTACTCGTGTGCACTTGTTAAAACTTCAGCGTCACCTGGAGATCGCAGTAACCAAGGAAAGTATCCTCTGCATTTAACATCTAGTGAAACCTGCTATTGACAGACTAGGCCAGAAGCCTAAGCTGCCCCCTGCTGGAGTGAAAACCGAACACTTACCCTACAAAAACGAAAGCAGAATCACTTATGTTTCTATGAAAGGTAAAAGCTCAGTCTCTTTCCTGACACAATTAGAATCACTTTTCCTGGGATACAAAATGAAATTTTATTTTGAATGTTAAACTCAGGACAAGGCCCTCTGCTATTACATTTTTTGCACAGAGGAAAATTGGATCAGATTCTATTGCAAATGTCATTTCTCCTTGGACCCAATTCTGCAGAGGCATCTTCCAGCAGGGATATTAATCACAAAGGGTTGTCTTCCCACCAGTAATATCTGCAGTGATCCCAATGTCTTCCGCGAGCTCCTATGGGGCCAAGACAATGTGCCGCTGCCCTTCACAGTTCTTGATTTCACTGGAAGTCCCCGGTATTGTAGATGATCTGTGCATCGAAACTATGGGACTGACACCTCTGAAAGACAAAAATTCCTTTGGACGTTCACAACTTTACAACCATTGTAAATTAATTTTATAAAATCCCTGCTCATTAAAGAACAAGGTTGGGCAGGTCCTTTCCTAGAAACGAAGTACTACTCGGGCAGACGAGTGCCTTTCCTTCACAGAATTGTTGTGCGAGATTTTTCCCTCAGCTTAAGGAATGCGTCAATTCCTTACTGTTCTTTAGTTCTCACATCTCTTACCCATTGAATCCATGTTCCTCGCCAGTGGTGGGATTCAAAATTTTTTACTAACGGTTCTGTGGGCGTGGCTTGGTGGGCGTGGCAGGGGAAGGATACTGTAAAATCTCCAGTCAGAGGTGGGATTTGCCAGTTCTCTGAACTACTCAAAATTTCTGCTACTGGTTCTCCAGAACTGGTCAGAACCTGCTGAATACCCCCTCTGGTCCTTACCTTTCTTCCCAATTATAGGTAGTCCTCAATTTACGACCGCAATCAAGCCCAAAATTTATGTTAAACAAGACAGTTGTTAAGAGAGTTTTGCTCCCTTTTTACGACCTTTCTTGCCACAGTTGCTAAGTGAATCACTGCAGGTGTTAAGTTAGTAACATAGTTGTTAAGTGAATCTGGTTTCCCTATTGACTTCACTTGTCAGAAGGTCGCAAAAGGGGATCCCATGACCCCAGGGACACTGCAACTGTCCGAATTTTGAAGTGTCTGAAATGTCTGAATTTTGATCAGGCATCCATGGGGATGATGCAAGGTCATAATTGTGAACAAATGGACATAAGTCACTTTTTTCAGTGCCATTATAACTTAGAACAGTTACTAAATCTTGACTCTTGACGAATGTATCTTTTATGTATACTGAGAGCATTTGCACCAAGACAAAATTCCTTGTGTGTCCAATCAAATCTGGCCAATAAAGAATTCTATTCTATTCTATTCTATTCTATTCTATTCTATTCTATTCTATTCTATTCTATTCTATTCTATTCTTCTTATTGTAGCCTATGACTATCATTAAGTGTTGCACCTTATGATTCTTGACTCTTGAAGAATGTATCTTTTCTTTTATGTACACTGAGAGTATTTACACCAAGACAAATTCCTTGTGTGTCCAATCACATTTGACCAATAAAGAATTCTGTTCTGTTCTATTCTATTCTGTTCTGTTCTGTTCTGTTCTGCTCTGTTCTGTTCTGTTCTAATCTAATCTAATCTAATCTAATCTAATCTAATCTAATCTATTATTCTTATTGTACCCTATGAGTATCATTAAGTGTTGCACCTTATGATTCTTGACTCTTGATGAATGTATCTTTTCTTTTATGTATACTGACAGCATTTGCACCAAGACAAATTCCTTGTGTGTCCAATCACCCTTGGCCAATAAAGAATTCTATTCTAAACAAACTATTATAAATTGAGGACGATCTATTGTTTCCTTTCCTCCACACAATCCTTTTCAAGGACTCCTTGGGATTCTTTTGGATCTTATACAGGTGGTCCTCGACTTACGACCACAATTGAGCCCAACATTTCTGTTGTTAAGTGGAGCATTGGTTAAGTGAGTTTTGCCCCCTCTTACGACCATTCTTACCACAGTTGTTAACTGAATCACTGCAACTGATAAGTTGGCAACCTGGTTGTTAAGTGAATCTGGCTTCCCCATTGACCTTGCTTGTCAAATTGGTTGCAAAAGGGCCTTGGGACACAGCAACAGTCATAAGAATGAACCAGTTGCCGAGCATCTGAATTTTGGTCACATGGCCCTAGGGACTGCTACAAAGGTTGCAACTGTGAAAAATGGTCATAAGTCACTTTTTTCCAATGGCGTTGTAACTTTGAACAGTCACTGAATGAACTGCTGTAAGTCGAGGAGGCAGCTAAAGAAGAAACCACAAAGGAGTAGTTGGACTACACGGACTACAAAAGAGAACCTGTGCAGAAACACGTTTCAGCCATTCCTAAACTCACTCAAAACAGGCAATCAAGCCCACTCTGCTAGATTACATTTTAATTTTGAACCCGTCCTTTTATGCTAGGAGCCCTTATCCCTCCCTGCTGATCTACTCACTTTTGGGAGAAAACAGGAGAGTGTGCAATGATTCTCGGCCGTGCTGTCAGCACTACTTCCCCACGACTGGCCTCCACCAGAATGTTCTGGATGGTGTTATCCAGCACCATTTCAGCCAGATTTGCAAATGCGGGCATCCTTAACAGAAAGCACATTTCAGATCTTCATGCTCACTGATGCTGGTGTTTCCCATTTTGCTGTCGCGGGACTGTGCCCACGGCCCCTTTTATAATGCCATAGCCAATAGTACAAACTCATGCCCAGGTTTAACCAGTCAAGTATCCTTCACCCAAGATAATATTTTTGTGGTGAAAATAAACAACTCCAACCTTGGTGTACTTAAAAGTCAGCCTCATAGAAAATACTATATATAAAATGAGAAACTAAATTGATAGGGGGAAATAAACATTGTCTACTAATGAGAGATACTCTGGCAGTGCATAAGACTAGAGAATGTTTACAATTTGTTTGGCAATATTCTATATTGAAAGACTTGAAAAACTTCATCCAGGATTAACATTGCAAGGAGACAATAGCAATAGCACTTAGACTTATATACCACTTTACAGTGCTTCTCTAAGTCAGCCTATTGCTCCCAACAATCTTGTTCCTCATTTTACCGACCTCAGAAGGATGGAAGGCTGAATCAACCTTGAACTGGGGAGGATCGAAGTCCTGGCAGTGAGCTGAATTAGCCTGCAACACTGCATTCTAACCACTGCACCACCACAGCTCTTATACTACAGGTAGTCCTTGACTTATGACTTGTAAGTTGTGATGGTTGTAAATCGGGTCATGCGCATGATTGACTCAATTTTACGGTCTTTTTTTGTGACAGCTGTCGTAATTTTGGAACTGGACTGTAAGTACCTCCAGGGAGGTCCGTTGTAACCTGTACTACCTGGACTTTCACAACAAGCCTGGTAGACTTAAGCTTTCATTCAAACTTCAGTACCAATGCCAGAACATAAAACACATATACAGAAAGCTTAGGGGATGCAGTGGCTCAATGGCTCAGATGCTGAGTTTGTCAATTGAAAGGTCGGCAGTTCAGCGGTTCGAATCCCTAGTGCTGTGTAACGGGGTGAGCGCCTGTTACTTGTCCCAGCTTCTGCCAACCTCAAAAGCACATAAAAAATGCAAATAGAAAAATAGGGACCACCTTTGGTGGGGAGGTAACAGCTTTCCATGTGCCTTTGGGGTTAATCATGCCGGCCATATGACCATGGAGACATCTTCAGACCAAGCAGGCTCTTTGGCTTTGAAACAGAGATGAGCACCGCCCCCTAGAGCCATTTAACAACTAGCATGTATGTGTGAGGGGACCTTTACCTTTATAGAAAGCTTCTCAGATCGTATATTGTATCCAGATTGCAATTTTGGCTGGATTTAGCCATATTTCTGCTTCTGGGTTCTCCAGCCCAGTACAAATATTTTGAATCCTAACCTCTGACTTTGACTATATGGTTCCTCCTGGTCCTTCTGTACCGTTTGTCTGGGAATTTGAGTATCTTTTTGTTTCTGATCCCATACCTGCCTCTGATCCCTTAGAATCTTACTCTTTTTGCTAGAACTTGACGTGCCTGATTTTGACTATGCTTTGTGAAAGAAACCTCTGGGTGGCAGGAGTAGAAAAAGAGAATGGTCAAGACATTGAAGCTCTGTGCCTAAGGCCATTGTGAGGACCTAAGCTTTGAAAAGACACCATTGCCATGTTTGCCAGACCTATTCCTTTACCTATAAGTAACAGGAGGCTTCTCGGTAAACCATACACAGTATGAAGTCCATCCTTTTTGTGATTCAAATTGCACATATTGATATGTTGTTCTAGAAGCTCAGGACAAACATGGCATCCTGATCATTAGCTTCCCTGGTCAATATTTTTTGCGGTAGCCTTACAGATAGAATCAATCAATAAACCTGATATTCTTTTGCATTACAGGAATATTAACCTAGAACACCCGGCTATTTGGCCTGCCCTTTTGAGTTTAGAGCTGTTCAAATTGTCTCACCTGATAAGGAATTCTTTGTCTTCCCGGGACTGTTCCTTGCGAATAATGACACTTAGGTTCTCTGAAACAAATGAAGTGACTCTGGGAGATACTGTTTCCCTTCCCAAATCTCCATCCTCTGTTCTACTCTTAGCACTGATCTCTGGGCAAGGAGTTTCCGGAGAGGTGCCAGTTGGACTCTTTTTCTGTTTTGCTGATGTTTCACTCCAGAATTGGTAGAAGTAGGGGATGGGTTCTGTGAGGCTTCTAGCCACTGCTTCTTGGAACTGTTTCTCCTCCAACAAACCCCTGGAATATCAAAAAGGACATCTGTTGCCATTTAGTTTAAGGATCATTAAGCTTGCTTGTATTGTTGTTCATAGCACCTGAAAACCTGGTAATATAAAAGGTAATAAATATACACCCTTAAGGTGATTCATTGATGTGTCAGGGATAAAAGAAGGCAAAATTACTGGGAGTCAATCGTACTCTGCCAGAGATACAGGCCAGCCAGACAATGGCTGAACTGAGTGATAATGACTGGTCCAAAGTCCCCCAGTGAGTTTTATTGATGGAGCATGAAGTTGAACCCGAGCGGTTCATATCAGTGTAGTACACTGGATCTGGACAAGGAATCCAATCTATCAGGCCTTGCATTTCTCATCATTGATTTAATTTAATCTTCCTTATGGAGTGCTTCTGAAAGCATACAGGAATAACTCAAACTACATTATTTTCAGCATCCTGGTGAAACAGCAGGCCATACTACATATGATACATATCCTAAGCCTACAGTCTATAGATTATAAGGTATACCGCTTATATACAGTAAGGCAGGGCATATGTACCACCCAAATATTTCAGGACTTTTGACAGACAAGCCACCTACTTGATCACCATAGACAGCATGTCGGTCAGGAGCTGGGCCTCTTGTTCTGTGCAGTTTTCTAGATCCATCCAGATGGCATCTTTTATCGATCCTTTTCCACTTTTGCTCGCAACTGAGAATAGAGATGTCTTACGTACAGAATCTTTTCTTGCTGTTTTCTTCTTCAGTCGGCTATTTGAAAAAAAAAACATGAAAACTTTTTTTTTGACCAAGGTCTTTCTACGACCACGAGATGCCTAGAAACAAGGAGGCAGGATTTGTCTTTCAGCTCAGTTTATTAAATATTCTCATACCACAGGAGCGAGTGGGAAGGCAATCAGATTTTTTTCCCCAATTCCAATATTTCCACATTAAGGCAAGCAATGTATAAAACAGTTTTTATTTGTAATAGGACAATTCAAGGAAAATTAAAGCAAGGACTAGGTGGTTTTCGATGGGGTCCTTGATGCTCTCTGAGCTTGGTTGTATTCTTGCAGGCATTTCATTACCAAACTAGGTAACTTCATCAGTGCTAAAAGCTAAGTGGTTTCACCTATCATCAAACATGCTAAGCCAGATCAGAACATCGGATAAAGCTACTACAGGTAGTCCTCGACTTGCAACAGTTCCTTTAGTGACTGTTCAAAGTTACAACTTGCAACTATTTTCCACACTTACGAATGTTACAGCACGGTCACGTGATCAAAATTCAGATGCTTGGCAACTGGTTCATATTTATGATGGTTGCTGTGTCTTGAGGTCATGTGACAAGCAAAGTCAATGGGGACAAGCAACGTCAATGGGGAAATCCAGTCCCCCCATGGGGCAAGCTCACTTAACAAATGTTTCCTTAGCAACATACATTTTGGGCTCCACTGTGGTCGTAACTTGAGGACTACCCGGACTGTGTCTTGTAAACTTACGGCTTGGTCCAACACAGAAATCTAGCCCCTATGGTACACAATTCCCAAATAAGTGTGGCTTAGGATAAGATAAGTTACACATCCAGCTACAAATAAATGCATGACAAAGAGCATCGACATAACATCTCTACACGGAGAATCGGCAGAGATCCAACATGTCTAACTGGAGAGGTGACATCTGGAGAAGGCAAGGAAAATAGGGCGTCTTACCGGTAAAGGAAGTGCTGGGGCAAGTCACTAGAGAAGTTCGACAAGAAATCATCGATTGAGTGGGACCTGGCTGTAAAGCCTAGGTGCATGAGGAAGGGCTTGGGGAATTCAGGCTTGGGCCAGAACCTGCTGGCCTCTTTGTCCCTTATCTGCCTCCTCTGGCTACGGCTAGCGGGGGCATTTGGCTCACTGATGTTCTTAATAGGAGGAAGAGTCTGTTGAGAAGAAATTAAAGCAAACTGTTTAGCGAAAGGGACAAACTAACCCGTTTAACTTGGAACATACAAGCATCTTGTTCAGGAATTAAATGTGAGAAGGTAACAGAAGGAATGTGTAGGTGGGAATTAATCATTTCATTTCATTTCATACATCTTTCCTATTTGCAGCCTTTCCCTTGAATTGCTCAGGAATTATATGCAGCCTTCTCTCACACACACTCATTCACACCCCAATTATTTTCCAATCCTTGAGGACAAAGTGGGATACCCAATCAAATTCTGCAGAGCCTACAACCTAGAAACCCTGTGGTTCAACAAAATTAATACCCCCAAAAAACCTGGAGGGTTCGTAGTAGAGTCTTCTCCAAGTTTACCTTTAGTTTTAATTGTCAGTTAGGATTATAATTTCATCTCTTGTTTGTTTCACTTGGTTCAATCTTCCTGCTTACAAAGTCAGTTAGTGCAGAGGTGTCTGCCCGTACTTTCATAGCAATGAAGACCAAAGCAGACAATTCATTTAAATTCTCTGCTACCATATCTTCCTATCCAGCTTGAGCACTCCTTTAATGTTCCTGTTGTCCAATGTCCTAGCTGATAGGCTTCCTAGTCCAAATATCTTTGAAGATTTTTTTTTTTTGCTGTTAATGCTCTTTTTGTGTGTGTGCTCTGCAAAGTGTTTTGCATATTTTATCAATGCCTTATATTCCCTTCCCTCCAATGTTCCTTTTTGTTTTCACATGGGAAAGATGCCCACTTTTTAGAGAAAGAGTTTTGCCTTCAACTGTATCTTGGATCATGCTCGTTAGGCACTTTGGCATTCTTTGGAGATTTATGGTAGCCTTTCTGGACATTTGTAGCTGCGATTCTACTATTGTTGCTTTGAAAAAAAATGCCAAACATTTAGTGACTTGCTCGACTCTTGCTTTCAATCTTTTCATTAATCCATTTATTTATTTATTTATTTAAAAAAGCTTGATCTTCTGAAGTCACACTAGATTGACTTAGGCTTTTTAGATACACCTGAAGATAATATTTTTTTGATTCCCAGTTGGTTCAGTGCATCTCTCTCAAGCAAAATTCTGGACTGTGTTTAGCATTCGGGTCAGGGTTGCAATGTTATGAAAACAAAAAGGAACATTTGCAAAATGTTGACCCCAAAAGTATAAGGCATCAATAAAATATGCAAAACACTGCTCTTGTTAGCCTTTTGAATAGATTTTGAGTGTACAGCTCAAAATCTATTCTAGAATATCTAGAAATTTGGTCTCTTAGTCCTGTCCAGAACATTCGTATTCTCAAACTATGCTTACGTGAAGGGAAATTATGTTTATTGTTTCTTTTTCTCTAATTCATTTTCTATCCATAGGTCAGCCTTAGCCTCTTGGTGTGGGACAATAGTATGTGCTGAGTACTAACCAGCTTTGGAGGATTGATATGGACATCAGTAGAAGATTCTGCTCCATTTTGTGGCTTCTGCTTTATGTCAGTCTGCATACAAAGCAGATCTTCTCCCATTATGCCCTTCCATTTATTTTCTTCAGAGGTCATGTCACAAAGATAATGGTATCCCACTGTATCCATAATTTATGCTACGTTATTTTCCTAACATCAAACACTCCCCCGATTCTTAGTATTTGCATATAAGCATCTATATACATCTCATCCTTTGGTTTTTTTCATGGCATGAACTTTTAACCTTATGATCTTATGCCTTTCATGATTAATTATATCCATTATACCTATAGGTGTAGAACAATAAAGAAATATGCCTGGAAGATTTACATTTCCTGCTCAGTTTCTGAAGCAGAGGCTGACAACAAGGGATCTACCTATATCTACATAAAGGCATATAACTAATTACCTTATATTTTCTTATCTTCGTAAATACTTTAGAAAACTTTGACAATCCTGGCATATTTGGAGCTCCCTAAAGAAAAAGAAGATAGTTGTAACAAAAAGTGATAGAATTTGAACAGATGTGGTATACACCTGACTGAAGCAAGTTACCCCAAAAAACTTTAACCTTCTTTCTGCCAGTCATTTTTCTGCTCAAAGTGGGCAATCTCCAAGCTCCTTTTCTCCTTATGGATGTCTAGATGAGACTGGAGAAAAATCAGTGATGGATTCTAAGCACAAAATTGTCTTCAGAGAAAAAGTCAAGCATGCACTCCTGCCCCTGCTGTTTTTCCCCTCAACAGCAAGCCATGGATTTACTGTGAAAATTCCCCGGGTTTGACATATTACTGTATACAGTAAGTGGGTGGGGGAGTTGTAAGTTTTCCCTCCACCATTGCCCATGGCTGTTAATTCCCAAATCCTTATAAAAAGATGTGCTAATAGAAAATAAATGTACTTATTTAACATGGCAGCCATTATAATTTCATTGTATTTTTATGTTAAGGGGTTGGTTCTGACCATGGACATTTTAAAATTGAAATGTTGATGTTTCAAATTTATTGTGCATGCTTTATTACTGATATTTTATATGTATTGTGTACACTTTATCACTTCCATATCATACCATGGGTGTTTTAACTTTGGTGTAATTTGACAGGCATTTATATGAAGTTAATGGCATACACAATCAATAATTAAAACAAATTTTATTTATATTTATTTATCATTTTACTTAGAACTTCCAATACAAATAATAATAAAACGATACAAATGGAACTAAGATAATAATACATACGATTATACAAGCTTCACTGAACTGAATGAGAATCAGTGAGTTTCCCATAGGGAGTTCCCTAAATAACTCACATAAGTTAGTGAAAGGAAGATGCCACTTAGATTTTCCAGATTTTCCATCAAAGGATTTGGTTGGCCTTATGTAGCTAAAGCTTGAATATGTAGCTAAAATGTGAACACTAATTTAAACTTATGTTTCCTTGGTATATTTAGAAAATATATTCAGGAAAACATGAATCATAGAATATAGAATCACAAGACGAAAAGAGGCCTTAGAGATATTCTAGTCCAACCCTTGTCTAAGGCATGAGTCCTTATGCCATCCCAAACAAATGAATGTCCAATCTTTTCTTGAAAATCTCCAGTGATGCAGCATCCAGGAGGCAAATTGTTCCATTGGTTAATTGCTCTGTCAGCAAATGCATCTACAATCATTTACAAATCCACCTATTGTAATGTCTGAATAAGCAGTTGCTAATTCTGAGGAGCTGAATGACCCTGGAATCTAAATGATGTAGCTAAGTCTTACATCAGACTCTCCTGTAAGCTGAAAACATCTCAAGGAATTTTTTTTTTTTAGTATCTTCTTACGTATGTTCACAAAACACAGAATCAACTGATAACAAAAATATTTTTAAGAAATACATTCTAATCTAGATATTCAATAGATGTCCCTTCATAGCAAGCTAGTTTTTACCTTGAAAGGTTCCTTTGGGTCTTTCTTTGTATCCAGGTCTTTCTCAGTGATGGTAAACTCCACAGCTTGGCGAGCGTTTTCAATTTCCCATTCCTGCAACTCTTTCTCATATTGATCTAATGAGTTTTGAGTAAAAATCTACAGGGAAAATACCTAAGATTAACATTATTCAACTGAGATTTTTGCTACTTTTCTTCTTCTGTACTGGTGACATATGTCACCCCTTAATGGGCCTTCTGAAATTTAATTTCTGGTCGCACTTTAGTTTAATGTTATGACTTCGTAGAAATTATTGGAAACAAATATCTCACCAAAGAGAAAACAAGATCACTATATGCAGAATAGTTAAGCCAACATGTTTGGATTACAGGAAAGAGGAAATGAAATCATGCATGTTTAATCATGCATTCCAACTGACCATCATGGAAAAATATAATTTGTGTTAAGTGTGCATTATTTCTATCTTCTTGAGGTTTCTATGCAGATGTTTCCTTGACAAAAGCCATTCAGCCTTAATTACTCTATTACATTTGTTACTGATTAATTTTAATGAACTGATCAGTGACAGACTTCAGTGCAGTCTCATATTCTTTAGAACTATGGCCTTTCTGTTTGGCACCAAAATAATATAAGCAACCAAAAGCCCTTGGCTTTTGGTGTTAAAGAAAACTTTGATCTAAGGTATCCACTATGTCTCACCTCACAGATCAAATCCACATTGTAGAAGCATGGATTTTCACTGGCATGCAGCGTAAGAACGCAATGAGTGCTCTCTCCAGCCTGCACAATTCCAGTTTGAGGTATGATCTTCAATGCCTTGAAACAAAACAATGGATTATGATATCACAATATTTCAAGATTCAGACTGTCCTCATCCTTCTGTCCTTCCACAAGGCTCTAAGATTGTGGCATTAGCCTATGTAGAATGCAAGGATCTTGAATGAGATATGTGTTGGGTTGGCCTCAATTGCTTCTCTTATTATAATTATTATTGTTATTCCATTATCTTGTTTTTTATGTCCTTAAGTTATATTACACCACATAACATTATATTACACTATATATATTATATTTAAGACATTTTGTGTTTCTTTAAACTGTAACTCACTCAGCTCAGTCTTGTAAATTGGGTGGCCATATAAAACAATGAAATAAATGAATAAGTACATATAGCACAGCATGCAACATACTACAGTCACATTAAGTATCTTTGTTTGTTACTCTAGAAATAGACTTTTTCCTCCTGACTTCAAAAAAGAGTTAAAATAGTTGAATATAGCCACCGTAGCAAAATACTGATTACTTCATAGTCACAAAATACAACACTGCAACTAGGCCATCCTGTTCTCTTTAGCAAATACATTAACTTTTGAAGATTTTTGCATTTGTGGTGCAACCCCAGTTCAGACATTTGAGCTGACAAAATTGAAGCTAATTAAGCAAGTGTTCTGACATTGCCATTGAGGAAATTTGAAAGGAACAGAATCGCTAGGGAAAGACAAGGAAGCTAAAAAAACAACATGCAGATGAAACTCACCGCCATAGTAGGAGAGATCCCTGGTATGTGCCAGGTAAAAATGATGGCCTCATCCTCCGAAGCATTGTTGAGGAAAAAAAGGCGACTACATTTGCTGTAAACAGGGATATTGCCAAGACATATCCGTGGCTGAGATAAATATACTGCCTGGAAAGAAAATAAACAGAGTGAAATGCTAGCCTAATAAGTAAGGATCCCTTTGTTTTCTCGGCCTAACCAGTGGAAGGAAACTAGGTGATCTACAGTGGTATGTAGATCCTGTAGCTAGTGGCAGACATTTATGGGGCATTTCATACATAAAATACTGCCAAGGTGGAATGAATGGGATAGAGGGAAAATATTATTCTGTAGGCAACATAAATGGATGGGTAGAAATTAATCAAGAGAGTACAGAAAAATTCATTAGGTCTTCAGACACTGGAGAAAATGAGAATTATGCCTGGGGGCATATTTACATACAAAAATGAATAATTATTTCAAATATGTCATTTAAGCATAAGTCTACTCATAGTACAGTATATTGGAAAGATTTGAATCAAAAAGCATGACTGATTAGAATGTTTATGATGAAAGACTTAGAAAATTAGCGAACAATACAAGGATATGAAAATATTCTTAATGTGGAACAAACTTTTATTTAAGAGTGGATTTGTTAAAAGTGAACATGGAAGAAAAACAAAGAGAGAAAGTAGAATGACTGCAAGATGAGAAAAATATGGATCCTTGAAAATGCATTAGAACATAGATAACTCTTTCCACAGAATGAATAGAAAGAGGGTGTGAAAATTGGTTGGAACAGGGCAAAAAAGAAATGGTTGAGTCAAATAGAGTAAGCAATGTAACAAAAATATAGGTATTTTATATTTTTATATAGGTATTTTAAAATTAGTGTTCCAAAAACCAAAGTGATTGCAGTTAACAGAGTAAATGACTGCAAGTTATACATAAAAATCAAAGAATCATAGTTGCATGGAGATTCTCAAAAATTGAGAAGTTTAAAGAACAAAAAGCAATGTAGAAAGCAATGTATGGATGTTGTGGAAGCAAGGACGGATATATATGTATGATGGAAGAATATTCTGGGGGGCACTACACACACTTGCTGCTGTTTCCTGGACTTGCTACTCTATTATTGCTCTATGGTATTTTTTGGAAAAAAATAGAAGACTCACTTTCAAAAGAATATATAATGCATCCAAACTTTCCAGTTCATTCATTATGGCTTTTTAGTAGCCTGCCAGACTCAAATGCATTAGGATTACTGCAAAATCTTTCCCTTTTGTCATAGCTTTCACTCTCAACCATAATAAGTATAAGGAGTACTGACTTGACAGCACGGCGATTCTGGCTCTGCTATGAGAACCATTTAATCCAAGTCACAAACATTATGGCACAACATGGATTCCTTGCAGGCAAAACAACTTGATGTTGTTTTCATTTTAATGATATTTGTTTGAAATCTCCCATAGGACATCTTAGCAACCTTAGGAGCTTTACGTCTATGGAGATTTTCAGTCATCCAGTTGTCTCAAAGGTGCTTCTTCAAAAAACAGCTGGATTGTTGTTGTTTTTCCCTTGAGGAGAAAGAAGTTTCACTTCTCATCCAAGAAGCTTCATCAGTTGTGACTCGATGATGAGAAGATGGAAGGATAATTTCTGACAGGATGGTGGGGAGGGGAAAGGGGAATGGAAGGATTTTTCAGGTAGCCCTCAATTTATGACAACTGAGCCCAAAATTTACGTGGCTAAGTGCAACATTTGATAAGTGAGTTTTGCCCCATTTTACAACCTTTTTTTGCTGTTGAGTGAATCAAGTGAATTGCTAAGTGAATCTAGCTTCCCCATTGACTTGGCTTGTCGGAAGGTCACAAAAGCTGATCACGTGACCCCTGGATAATGCAACCATCATAAATGTGAACCCATTGCCAAGCATCCGAAGTTTGATCACGCGACCAAGGGGATACTGCAACGGCCGTTAAGTGTGAAAAATGGTCATCGGTCACTTTTTTCAGTGCCATTGTAACTTTGAACGGTCACTAAATGAACTGTTGTAAGTCATGGGCTGCCTGTATTTCGACCAGAGGACTGCAAAGAAATACAATCCTTCCATCCCTCCCCTCATCATCCTGTCAGAACCTAGCCTCCCATCCACCTACCATCCAATCACAACTGGCGAAGCTTCTTGGAAGAGAAGCGAATTGTCTTCTTCTTCTTCCTCAAAGGAAAAAAAAACTGTCCAGTTACCTTTTGAAAAAGCACCTTTGAGACTAAATGTAACATCTTTAGCTTCTTAAGAAAAGAATCTGAGTGAAGTGATCACCATTTTCAGTATACAAATCCAACACCACTTTCTGCCTATAGGTGGACGCAACAATAATTCTGCCTAATAGATCAACAAATATTGAAATTATGGCAAATCGGTTTTATTGGGAGCTGCCAATATGTTACCAATGAGTACATTCATACAGGCCGAGAGTCACAGGGCTGTGTTCTCCAATGTGTGAGACAAATACCTGCTGGTACAATTTCTGGCATCCTACAGATGGCAACAGAACAATACCAGCAGCAGAGCATTCATCTTTCATTCAATTGGACTGCATGTTCTAGCATCCCTGGCTCATCACTGAAGAGGTCATACTGGACCTTCTTCAGAACTTGTAAGAGCCTGCGCAATGTTCAGCTTGACCAAGGGATATGGCATGAAAACTGCATCCTTTCTGTGCTTTCCCAGATGCTCAGCAGATAAACAAGGACCTTTTTTTTTAATTGTAAAAAGAAGGGGGGGAAACACATTACTTGTGATAAGATAGCATCGTATAAGAATGGCTTTCCCAGTGCCAGTGGCTCACTTACTCCTACTGGCAATCTGAAATCTCTGTAAAACACTCTCTTGTGTGATACTGGAACAAGTAAACTCCCAGATTTACCAGACCAGGTACTGTTAATTTGGCAGAGACTGGAGTTGTTGCAGCAGATACGACTTTATCAAATTGTGCGGTTTCTCCCATAACTTGTGGATCGAAGCCTACTCCTTGAAAGGTAATTAAAGCAGAATCTCCATCCAGGATATGAATAGGTACATCCACCTGTGCAAAGAAAAAAGAAAAGAAAACAAAATTGTAGCTAAAAGAACAATGGCCATAATAAAAGAAGGATCAAAATGAACCCTTCTAACCATTTATTTGGGGGGAAAGATGTGTGTAGCAGATTTGGGGGTGTTTGGTAGTTTAAAAAAAAAGGAAAATATTGTTGAAATCAAGATGAAGAACTAAGATTAGGAAAATGGAATCAATAATAGATCAAACTTACCTTGAGATAAGATGGGTGGCCTATAAATGTTATGAATTAATAAAAGAGCTGTAATAGTTTAAAAAAATTGCAATGACTAAGAATCCTTTCTGAACAGAAACAGGCACAGAGCAATTTCGCTGCTGTGAACAAAATATCAGAACTTAATTGAACAAGAGTCACCAGAATATAAGTTCTAAAGCTGGACAAAATTGGATTTGGCAATTCAGATGATTTAGATAAGGGCTGTCCAACTCACAACCCATGGGCCAGATGCGTCACGCGCTGGCCATGCCCACACCTGGGTTAGCGAAGGAGAAAAAAGTTATGATACGTCATGTGATGATGCGAGTTTGACATCCCTGGTTTAGATTGGCTGTGTGTACAGAAACAGTTTTTTTCTAATAAATTTGGAAATCTGGATCAATCTAGTTTCACTCATTAACTCAGAATGGGACTAATTTTTCAACAATTTAAATCAGATTTTGCATGGTTCATAAAGGACTAATACATTTCAGTGGGATAGCTAGAGGGTATCAAGAATGGCAAGGAATATAATTCTGAAATGAAAATGCTTATTCTTAAGGATAAAAACCTTACGGAGTACATTTTGGCTTCCAGTGGGCAAAAAATCCATTCAGTGTGGGCGGTTAATCCGGGGCCAATCTCTCCTCTTGGATTCAGGCAGGTAAATACTGCATGACGGTGATTTTCTCTCTCTACTTGGAGGAGGGCATCCATCTGAATTTCATAGACTGCACTGGTAGAACCTCCATTATACAATTCATAAATCTAGAGAAGAGAGAAACCAGCTCCATATTGTTTCTAACAAGATGACTATAGGTACATAAATATCTTCATTTTGTATAATGCCAGCCTCTTACTTCTCTATTATGTAACCATTGGTACAGGAAAATTCATTTGCCCCAACCTGAAATTCAACTGGTCCTGTTTCCTCTAGTGCCCTCTGAATTGATAGTCCAATTACCACCTCAACTTTACCAAAAGGGGGAAGGTTGGAGACCTAATGAAAATGGTCAAGAACCCTTAAGTTCACCAATGCTTTCTTAAGGAAGAGTGCACTTCCACTTCCTTCCAGACAGGCAACACTACTTCCACTCCAAAATCAATTTATCATTGCATGGGCCTAATTATATTATATCACATTCTGGGAGGCTTTAACCAACTAGGAGGAATTTTGAACTAAAACCCAGGTGGTTATACTCACAAACCTAACGATCACATCCACTTCCGCTGGCATCACTGGGTCAAACACTTCCCAGGTAATAATTCAAAACCATCCCTTTGCTAACTCAAAAAAAAAAAAAATCTGCCTGGTTGAAATCTAACAGAGTAGATCTGAGATACTTTTTTTTGCCAGATGCCTAGAATTTTCCTTGTATACCGAATATTCAGAAGATGAGGAACATTTTTGGCATCTGCAGAAAAAGTCATTCAAATTCCTGCAGTCACTTTACATGGTTACATTAAATAGAGTCATCAGCAAATCATCCCTGGAAGTAATAAGATCAGAAAAATAGCTACATTTTGCCACTCTTATTGCTAACAATGTAGTCTCAAATATGAGCTCTTATACAAGCTTACCCAGGTTTATTCTTTGCTTTTATTAGCAGCCCTATGGACATTAAGATGCTGCTTAATCTCTTGGACATCTTTGAGGAATACCATGTGTTCAAAGCACAAAGAGAGGCTGGTCCGAGGCTCTCACCATACCCCCATTCTAGGCAGGAATTAAGACCTTGGTGGAACCGACCTACCAGATTCCCAAGGGAAAATCCCCAACTGCCCCTGAAATGATCCAGGTCCATTCATCGAAGAGCAATTGGATGGGTCCTACCTCCCTGCAGCACCAGCAAATCAAAGGTAGTCCAAGAAACAAGGTGGGCTTTTGATAACTCACTTGTTTAGGAGAATTATATGTGCCAATAGCAATGGGTGTGAACATATGTTTAGCTGAAGTGAAGTGAATGTAGTGGCATCCCAGCTTCAAGGTCACGCCAATAAAATTCAGCTGCAGACATAGAATAAAAAGTAAAAAGGTGAAATAATGGGCTGTTACTTGCACCATACAAGCTGTATTCATACCAACCACAAGTAGCGCCTCCCCCCACTCTCAATTCTTAAAAATATTAAAGCTAAAGTTAAAAGTTAAAGGGAGCAGCCCATCAGCACTCTCAAGGATTCTCCTCATTAAACCTCAAACCACAGGTTGGTGTGGACACAAATCTGGATTTTCACCTTTTTTGAAATTCTGAATTCCTACAAGGGGCGGGGAGTACAAACGAAAGGGAATGCAGTACTTCCACAGAAATCTTGCATAATATGTAATGGGCATCTAATAGAAGGTCAGTAAAGAAGGAAGGAGGTATCCCTGGGGAATAAGGGAATTGGGTTTTAACTGAAAAACTAGGGAGGGCCGAGGTGGGAAAGGCAACTTAAGAACAACTTTGGAGATCAAAGAGATGATAAAACCACTAACGGTATGAAAGGGAATAATATCAAATAAAAATCAGCACTATGGTTTCTATTTTTTTTTCCAAGAAAGATACCAAATTGGGATTAGTTCTCCTTTGTCACCATCCACAAACCACAGAGACAAAATCACATTCTCTTGACTGGCACTATCACCGAGAGAAAGTGCATCAAATCATAAGTCAACTCTTTTTTTCTAATGCTAAATAGAAAATTCTGCTATCAGTACAATTCAACCCCCACAGTGCCTAGAGTGGTAACTATAATGATGCTTATGGATGAAAAACCAGAGGTCTCAGGTACGTTATGGTGAGTATGTGAATCATAAAAAGCACACTCTGTGCCCAAGGACATTTTACCAATGCGCTGCCTCCTATAGCTATAGCAGCCAAAGAACTTAGCGTGGCCGTAGGGAAGAATAGTATCCCTTCCTCCTGGGAAGTTTATGAACCTTTGAACTTAATATCATACCAGAATTTCTCGACCATGGGATACTTTTAGTAGGACTGGGAGTCGGTCAGTGCCAACAAAATCATGTCTGTTGAAGGAAAAACAAATACAACTATTTTATTTAATGCATAACGGAAACCATTCCAAACTCATTTAACTGATGAATCCTATATCAAATAAGAGATCAGGAACAATTCTTTCCCTGTTGCAGAACTTCACTGTTGCATAAAGAGCCTCCTGGGCACAAGGATAGCATTGGATAAGAAAGGACAACGTAAAGTTAATCTACAGGTGCCTTAGGCTCCAAATAAATTCAAGAATTGGAAACCTGAGTCCAGGAGAAGGTAAAATCATTCAGTCCTCTGCTCTAAGAGAATTTTGTTGGAATTTCATACTTCAGGTGATTGTAACGGTCCTAAACTGTGGATTAAGTTGGTATGCCCTATCTAGCAAAGGAGTTGAAATTGACATGTGGGTGAGCTCAGCTCCCACATGGTAAGGAACCATAGTACATGAATACCTGTAAGATAGGTGTATAATTTGCTCTTGCCCTGGAGGAAGCTTTCCTGACTTGGGAACGATGGTGAAAAGCTGATTATCCTGGATCCGCATCTGATGCAACTCACTGGGATCAAATTCAGTACTTTCTGCCCAATATTCCATGTCAATCTTCTGGTCAGAAGGAAACAGAAAATCCCTACAAAAACAGTTAATGCCCAGAAAAGGAGGAAGAAAATGAACAGATCCAATCTTTAGAAGACAGAATTAAACTAAATATCAGGAGGCTGCCTGGCTGACAAATTTTCTCATTGCTAAGCAGGGTCTGACCATTCTCTCTTCAGCTGATGAGTATCACTGGCCCATTCTTATCTTGTTCAGCATCCAGACTATGATCAACCGGACCTAGGAATCCAAGGAACTTTACAACGTGTCTTATACAGTGCTCTAGTTTACAGAATCATAGATTGGTAGCCATCTAACCTATTTTCCTTCTCAATGCAAGAAAGACATTGCTACAGTATCCTCCCTAGCAAACCTCTATAAGCAATGAAGAGCCCATTTCTATTTCCCCAAATAACTTGTTCCATTGTCAAATCTTACATTCACAGTCACTCTCTGAACGCAAGAAATATATTTAAGCACCATTGAAGATGCAATTCTAATAGAATTTTTCTTTACCTGAATATTCATGAATTATGCCTCAATATTATTTATAACTCAGACCACTTGGCCTGTTAAAGAAAACCAAACATGAGGGATAACATTTTTAACTGCAGACAAAATGCCCCCCAAATTAAATCTATACTATGAAGATTCTTATCTGACCCATTCTAAATTCAAGTGAAGGAGGAAGAGAGTGAAAAAATTCTGAACTCTAAAGAGAAGCTATTTCTGGTTAAGTTAGTGGTTGAGGATTTCATACCAGTTTACAGGTATCGTTCCATTGTTCTGTATCATCAGCACAACCACAGAGGACCCACATCCAACTGGAGCAGCTCCAAAATTGAAATCCACCATGACAGGTGTGTAAACTGGTGGGATTCGTTGAGTGCTGCATGTTGAAGAGAAATAAAAATAAGAAGAATGGAGGAGGAACTGTTCGTATGTTCAATAGTCTCAGAATCTGGCTTGTTTACATATTGTATTTTCTTATGTCTTGCTTGAAGAAGAAAAAAAAAGGAAAAGAAAGAAAAGGAAGTATTGGTTGCAGACTATGATGTAATCAAGAACGTTTCTGTATGGAGGAACTAAAGACTAAGACACCAGCCAAGCTGACACCAGCCAGAGCACAGAAAACCTCAAAGAAGCAGGGCAAGATCAGAAGATGTGGAGCGAGTTGGTCCATAGAATCCCCAAGAGTCAGACATGGCTCGGTGACGCTGAGGTTAAAGTACAGTACTGAAGGCCACTTCTGCTGACTGCCGGATGCCTGCAATTTGGCAGATCGAATCCCACCAGGCTCAAGGTTGACTCAGCCTTCCATCCTTCTGAAGTTGGTAAAATGAGCACCCAGATTGTTGGGGGCAATAGGCTGACTGTAAAACTGCTTAGAGGGGGCTGTGACGCACTATAAAACAGTATATAAGTCTAAGTGCTATTGCTATGACCAAATGGATATCCTCATCATCATCATCATCATCATCATAGACTAAGAACTAGTAAGAAAAAGGGGATTCTTACCTATGTCTGGTAGGCACTCGGAAAGTGAGCTCTTGTGGTGTCGGCTCTCGCTCCAGATATTGGTTCAGTCTCTCCAAAGAAAAGAGCCTCCAGAGGTGCAGCTTGCTGATGCCAGAGGCACAGCCTGTCCCGCAGGCATCAACGACGCAGATGGAAGGGTAGATGCCAGTTGCTACCACATAGCAAACAGGCAGCTTTTCCCCCAAAGGGTTTGCAGCTTGCAAGGGAAGCAAGGAAACAGTCAGTACTTCAACCTTATTATCAAAAGAACAAACATATGACATTTGGGATGCTGGAAATGGTAAGGAAGGGACTTGGTTTTCAGTCATTCCTTGTACAATTGATTACGATCTTATGTTTCCTTTCTGTCTGGTTTACATCAATTGCTGTTGATATCAATTAAGGCAGGTGCCAACAATATCTCTACTCCCCTTGAGAAGTCCTTCACATCTTCTACCACTGGGCACAAATGGGGGAAAATGGAATCCGTTCTATTTTTTTCTTCAGTATCCATATACTTCATATAAAACAAATTAATCACTGGATTAAATATGCACTTCAGCAAACACCAGGAACAACACGGTCTCTAAAAACTTATCAAACATCAAAATCCTGGGCATCCAAAATGGAATGACTACCTTAATGGGGCTTCCAAAATGAAAGCACTGGTCTGAATGGGAAGAAAAGAGGGCTTATGTTATAAAATAAATGCAGACTAGTGGCAGAGGCACTTGGTGAAACCCATGAGAAAGCCAGTTTGATCTACTAATTGGGGCACCAGGCTGGAAACTGGGAGGCCATGAGTTCTAGTCCCGCCTTCGCTGTGAAAGCTAGCTGGGTGATCTTGGGTCAGCAAACCCATCTCACAGAGTTGCTGTTGTAGGGACAATAGGAGGAAGGAAGACTAGTAGCTACATTAGCCACCTTGAGTTATTAATAAAAATAATAAAGATGGGATACAAATAAAGTAAGTAAATAAATAAATAAAATCGTTTATCTCCCACTACAGATCAATCCATATAACAATAAAATTTGACACACTTCTTCAGGTGGCTCTCCTATTAACTGCAATTCTCTTTTTAAAAATCCTCCAAGTTCCTTGGTTTCCAAAATAGAGGGGAAACTTTGTAATGCTTCTTTCTGCTGTGGATTTTCCCACTTCCACATGTATATATTGCTTAGTGGCTTAGCTTTGATGGTCACTAGCTACTTCCAGAATCTTACCTTTGGGAGTAGAAATGGCACAATAGATTGTCCATGTGTAGTGCAGCCGGTGAGCTGGTTTTAAAGTTGCTTGTAAGTAGATCTTTCCCCGAGCCCAAACTGTCCCTTTGTAGTGATCCAAATCTATTGCTGTGAATGGGGAGTGAGAGAAGAAGAAAGGAAACAATGGAATTACTAAGGGCAGGCTTACAATGGCACAAAGAACCATAGATTCCCACTCCAATTAAATACCTAAGGGATCACTGGCAACTTCCTCAGGATCACATGGTCCAGTGATTGTTTGTTCCACACTAAGGACATATTTTAAGCAGCAGGATCCATTGTTAAATAAAACAAGGTTACAGGATTGTGTGCTACCAACCAAGATGTTGCCAGCATCTATCTGTTTCTCTTCTGCCTACAAGCCAAACAACAGAGAAAGATATTAAATACAGTATATACTTCTAATATAGATACTCTATGTAAATATGTTCTGGGATTAATGATACTAAAGGAAAAAGGATGTCAGTGTTTTTATTAGGACATATATTCAATTCAATAATATATCCAACAGGCATCCTTCATCAGACTACATGGCATTAGGTAGCAGCTACACCCACTTATTATACTCCATAGCTCTGCAATGGCTGACTGTCACATGGGTTTGCTTCAAATGGCAGCCACCTTCTTTAACGGGGCTATATTAATTTTTGCAGAGTAGATGTTGTCACTTACCATTATGGTGCCAAACGACCCCTCCCCAATAACTCGCAGAACGTAGCGAATAGTCTTTGGTGTCTTGTCATCCAGCATTTCTTGGTCTCTCCAAACTATCACATAGCTCCGCAGCAGATACTTGATTTGTTCAGCAGGAGTGAAGGTCCATGTCTGAGCCTGAAATCATATGCAGAAGAGGAGGCTGAGGGACACTGAAATCACTTCCTTTTGGAATGGATCAATAAGTTGTTAAGAGCCATAGAGGAACCCATAGAGAAAAGCTTCCTTTTCTCCCTCACTGCTAGTATCTTGCTATTTTTACATGTAGAACCGTAACAGTTTGAATGCGTTATTTAGCAAGGCACCATTAGTAGCTGTATTTGTACTCGGTTCAAGGAAGACTACTAAATGTCTGTATTAATTTTCCTACTTACTAAAGCTTCACTGGGTAGTAGTGTTCCTTCAGCAGGTTGGACAGACAGAAGCTTTTGGTCAGACTTCTGGATTTTCCATCTGAAAAGCATAGGTAGTCGGGTACAGTTTTTGATGGTGAAAGTACGTGAAGAGCAGGTTCCCACACAGGTGGGCTTGAAGTACAGGTTGCCATCACCTTCCAAGAGTAGCGCCAGAGGCTCCGCATTGCTCTGAAGAAAAATCTCCTAGTGAAGCAAAGATCAATGGGCATAATGAGCCAATGTTGGAAAACCATCCGTGGAGGTTCAGTTGGGTCCTAGCTGGCATGATCAAGAATGAAAAAAAACTGGACGTATACAAGAAGAAAATTCATATGCAATGTAGTCAAATCAATTCTCATACTATGAAGTTCTAGAAATGCCATTAAACATACATAACTGCAATCTCCATAATACAGGCATCGATTTGGACTGATAAATGACAAAAAGCTAGACACTGGCAGAAGCCAGTGAAGGATTGTGGAAGATTGGGAGTGGGAGAGAAAGATGATCCCAATTATACATAGTTGCCACTGTTGAATTAAGCAATGCAGGTGATGTCCCAGTGTCTGTGGGATCTGGATGGGGAACAACAGAGTTGGACAGAAGGCTAGCAAGACTGAGTAGCTCTGCATTCCAACGCTTTCCAGTTCTGGGACTATATCATCTCTGGTACCGAATGGGGTTGTACAACTTGGGGGCCCTCCTGGGCTTACAACTCCTGCTTGAAGAGCAGGTGGCAGTTGTGGCTAGGAAGGCCGTTGCTCAGTTTCACGCTGTGTGCCAGTTGCACCTATTCCTGGATCAGGAGACTCTATTCACCATCACTCATGTCCTAGTAACCTCCAGAACGGATTACTGTAAGGCACTCCACATGGAGTTGCCCTTGAAGAGAATCTGGAAGCTTCAGCTGGTATAAAATGCAATGATGAGGGCAACTATAGTATGTGTGCCCCTAGAATGGCGCATGTTACATTTGTGCTCCACAACCTGTATTCGGTTGCCAGTTTGTTTCTAGTTTCAATTCGAGGTGCTGATTTTGTTATTTGAGCCTCATCCTAGCACAGAGCTGGGTAATTTGAGGGATTACCTTTTCCCAATTAATTCTGCATGTCCCATCAGGTCTGGCAGAAGAGGCAAGCGACAGATCCCCTCTATTCGAATCATAGAATAACAGAGTTGGAAGGGACCTTGGAGGTCATCTAGTCCAACCCCCTGCTCGAGCAGGAGATCTGCCTAGGATCGAACTCACAGATTATGAGGCAAGAGCTCCACCTCTAGGCCACTGGAGCTGCACCACTATTAAGGAACTACAGTGGAGCCCCGCTTCCTTTTCTGCTATAGTGTTCATCCTGTGGACCAATCTCCTTCCCCCCCCTGCCCCCCCCCGGGAGACAGGCTTCATCCTGGATGTCCTTCTGGAAGTCCTTCAAAACATGATGATGTCGACAGTCTTAGAGGCCTCAGGGATATGGGGATTTAAAGTGTGGCCACACTGCATGTAACATCTAATGTTCTCTTTCTAGCCCTTTTTTCATAATAATATTGATGTTTTAATTGTAGAATGCTTTTTGTGATTACAGTTTTTATGGGTTTTGTACAACACCTAGAATCACATTTCTGAGAGATTGGTATCATATAAATATGATGGATAAATAAATATAGGCTGAGTTAAAAGCAAGAAGTCCAGAAGTAATGAGTCAAAGGATTGAAAACGGCAACCATCCCCCGCCACCACTACCTCCCAAAAAAGTATCATTAGATTTTGGCTTAAGTAAGTCACATTTAAATGATCAGATTCAGTTCTGCTCTGGATGTCATCAGACTGGATAAGCCTATTTCCTTCCTTTTTCTAATGAACTGGTAAAAATAAGAAAGTGTATCTGCAGACATTCCTAAGCCTCAGCTATTTTCCCCTTTTCTTTAGATAAGGAAGCAGGAGAAAGGATTATAAAATAACATGTTGCCATAAGTGAAGGAGTTATCCAAATTATTGATCCTCGTTAAGCTATCTAATAGTTCTTACCTTGGTATAGAACAGCAAGAGTTTCTCCAGCTTTGAAGTCCTTACCAAAATTAAAGTAAAGTAAAATAAAACTACTAGAGAAAGGGTGCCAAGAAGATGAAAGGGGCATGATAGCATAATAAAATAGGGCAAAAAATGGAAAGAAAAAAAACGCACTTCCTTGCTTACCTGAGTGAAAGAGGACCAGAAATTGAGGTGCAAGAGCAAGGTGTGCTGTTGTATAGTTGTTTCTGTGGGGCAAGTTGAAAGGAAAAAGATCTGGTGGGCTCCTGGAATAACATATCCACAGCTAGGCTTGACCAAGACAGAAGGGCACTTTTCTCGGCCAATGTTAAAACATATGGCCGTCGTGCCTACATTGCAGAGTAGCATGCTGCGGTATGTGGTGACATTCCGACAGACTGGAGGAAAAACCTGGGAGACAGGAAGAGATTTGGATTGGAGGAACAGTCCCTCAATGATTTTCCTCCATAACTTTTGTACTTTAAAAGGAACTTTTATTAAAGAGCAATGTGGAAAGTCAATTGACCATATGCAATTTATAGCACCTAGTTCAATATGCCAGGTGACTCCCATGTACTGTATCAACCAGCAAACCACCAAAATACAGGTTTCAAACATGCCCAGCTGTTCAATAATTGCAAACCATCCCCTGCATGGAAATTAATGATTGAGCAGTTAATTATGGGAGAGGACAGTTATTTGGAAGCTAGCATAAGGCTCCAATCAGATTCACCTTTAGGACACTGCATGCTAGGTTGCCATGTTGTGGCATGCATTCATCTTTCTGACACCTGGTCTGAATATACAGTATCAACCACTCACTCCATCTCTGCATCTTCTTCAAGTTTCATTTTTCAAACATATTTCACCTTAAGTTCAACAAGCAAGCATTCAACGTTTTAATTTCAGTTTTAAAGTACTTTTAAAATATGAGGGTGAAGGTTCATTCTCCGAGCTTGTGGGTTGGTTTCAGAGTTGAACAATAACTTGGCATTGCTTAACACCACAGAAATCAGTTTGTTCCAGTGAATCAAATTAATTAATTTCTAAATGGAAACAGCAGGACAGGATCTCTTAAGACACTATAAATAATGGTTGTAAAATACTATGCCAACACCACAGTGACTATCCTTGAGAAAACTGCTTGTGCTCCACAAACATTTACCAGGGATGACAAACATTCTTCACCTTGTGACAGTCCAAGGTGAACTGGGGGATGAAGTGCTGTCGCCCAGGTTGAAAAGTATGTCCACGCAAGCGGATGGTCAAACTCCAGGATGGACATATGGTGATGGGCTCCTCAACATTGTTGTAGTGTCTCAGTACCTACCAGTGAAAAGAAACAGAGCAAGGGAAGCCTCTTAATTTGTGCTTTAGAGTTAAACAAATGTTAAACAAAGTGGTTCCAAGTCAGAATTCCAAGGCAGGAAGAGGATAGAACATGCCCTTCAACAAATAGCCTGCTTACTACATTTTTAAACCAGTTCCTTCCTACCCTCCCTTTGATAGGAGATGGCAGATGACTTTTGCCAGGACAAGAATCCACATATTAATAGCATATTTGACATCAGATAGCCAACCATACCAGCAGTGGGATCCTATCTGTTCTACTACCAGTTCGGTGATTGGGCGTGGATGCGCACACACCTAACATGCATACGCCTAACGCACGCACGCAGCATTCCCCACACCAGCTGAGGCCTGCAGCACCAATCAGCTGAGAGGATAGAGAGAAAAGTGCAGAGGGGAGAGCCGATCCTGCGCTTTTCTCTTCTTTCTCCTCTCAGCTGATTGTCGTGGGAAGCTTTTTTTTTTTTACTATCAGTTCAAGTGAACCGGTGCAAACCGGTAGCATACCACCACTGAACCATACCAAAGTGACATGAGAAATTATCCACCCTAATGGGATGAGAAGCTGCAGATGCTAAAGGCCATCATTTGGGACTTCAATTTCTACCCACCTTATAGAAAGCAAAGCCTTCCAGTTCTGCTGCATATAAAGTATTGACCTGAGGAGGCTGGAAAGTGATGCGGAAAGCCATGCTCTTGAGAGATGGGATGTCACAACCCTCTGGCATCACCTGGAAAGGACTGTGTGGCTTTCTTGTCCAAATAACAGTGACTTTCCCCTTTGTGTGGTTAGTCACAGAGAAAGGAAGTGGCTCTATCTCTCGAAGGCTTGCACAGCAGCCAAAATCAAACTCCTTGATGCTGAGGCTGACATGGGGAGGATATATCGTGAGGTCACTGTATACACCATCATGGAAATATTCAACCATGGGTTCAATGACGGGGTACTCCTCGGGGGGTTTGTCCTGCAGCATCTTAAAAACAAAATATCTGCATTTAGCCAAAAGAGAAACTGTTCATTCTACTATATTGAAAGTAAGGGAATAATTAGTATATGTATCCATGTCCATAGGGAAGCTCAAGTTATTCAACAATGGAATAGAAGCCTGTCAAATTTAACAAACTGAATTTACAGAATTTACCATATTTACAGTGCATTCTGGGAGTTATGATGATACAATACAGAGGCATTGGTAACCAATTGATATGCTAGGCTTCCTTTTCAAGAGAAGCCAGGCTGAATAAGTCTGCTTCTCATAAAATATCCTTTACCTCTGGTGGGAGTGTAAGAGCTCCGTTCTCATCTACTAGCAGCTTGCCTTCCTTCAGCATGGTGCCCAGGATGTCTGGTGGGAAAAAGGTCAGTCCTCTGGCCATATGTGTCTTGTACCTGCTCATATCCTTCATTTTCAGGGGGATTGGACTTGTTGTTTCTGTGTGGCAGGTCCCAACCAAATCTAAGAACAATGGATCCTGCCCAACATCAAGAACGCAAGAAAGAAAACAGTCTATTTTACCTGCAGAGGCATTTTGTTCTACACTTCATTCTGAATTTTGCCTAGAAGTGTCATCCATAGAATTTGGCACAGGACAATGTGTGAAATTTTCAGCTTACAAAACTCTAAACAACTAGTGTTGTGGACAAAAAATAAGCCTAACAAACAGAATAGAGGTTGCACCTTTTTCCTACTCGTGTCTTAGACATCACCAGGGTCAAACCCAACTCTTCTCTTGGCTTAATCCTATCAGACCCAAATTTGCCCCCGATAAAGCTCAGATACACCGAAGATGAGAGATGCCTCCCTAAGTAGCTCACATTATAGCCCAAGGAAGCCTCAATAAGGGAGTTCCAACATGGTAACAAGGTGAGAAATCTCAATGCTCAATCAGCCTGATGATTCTATCTCCTCAAGAGTGGACTTCTCCAGTTCTGCTGCCAGAGACCGGAACAAGAACCTGCCTAACATCTCCCAAAATTGCCATCAAATCAGATCCCTGGGATTTCCTGCTTTCTAGTCCTCTCAACCACTATACAAATCATTGCTTTCCCGTTGTTTGGAGTCCCTCATTCTTGTAAAGCAAGCACCCAATCTTTGTTGCAATAAGCACAGATCTCCTATTGTGCTCTGTACTTCTGAATTTTTCATAACAAGAGGAGGAAAAAATTAAACATATTAGAGCCTGAAAATTAGGCCCATACTATCAGCATTCAATTCAGAGCCAGTACGTTGACTTAACTTAGAAATGTTATGCAAGAAATGAAATAGGAGCTACTGGCCTGAGACAATAGGAACATGTCATACAGTATAACCAGAGTTGCCTGGACAGAATTATTCTATCTGCTTAATGAAATGGCACTCAACCCTCCTGTAGTTGACTGGGAGTGCACAATTCAGAGACCAGTTGCAGGGCAAGATGTATCCTAACCCTCTTACCTGATGATGCACAAGGCAAGCCACACGCCGGTAACATATAATTGGGTGAGTAGGCTGGAAAGTCACCTTCAGCGTGATTGTTGACATTCCATTCAAGACCCCACAAGGACGGTCAATGGAAAACACACTCTGTGTGCAATCAATGTCGAATTGATAGTAAGCTGGAATGTCGGAGTTGTTAGTGATGTCTAATGGCTGATTAGAGTATTCACCAAGGTTAAGGCAGCAGAAGTAAACAGAGGGAGGCTGAAAAGTTACTGCAGGGCCTAGAATGACAAATAAGTCCAATTTTCATTCTGCTATGATGATTACCATCCAGGAAGGGGTTTTTTGTACAATAAAACCTCCCAATAATTAGTTTTACTTTGAAGTATGGATGTCATGCACGTTTTCTATAAAATAATTACTCTAGTCACCTATTTTTCAAGGCTTCCAAACATACACAGATCCATTCTCACACATATGTGGAACAGAAATGCACAAGATCAGGTTCTTCCTCTGTGGTGAGCAGAATTCTGTTTTCTTCAGAAAAGGATCATTTCAAATATTTCTAACAGATAATGAATAGTTGTATATTCATATTGATATAACAGAAAATAGTACATAGGGCAGTAAATTTTTAGGCTTGAAAATTAACATAGGAATCTAAATAAATCAGTTTTGTTGGCTACAAATATATTTTCAATCAACTTTAGAAAAATATTCTCCATAATGTGATTAGAATCCAACCTCAGGCAAGTTTCTGTACCTAAGTTTAGTAAAATTAGGACTGAGACATAAACATAGGTAAAATTTGTTTTTGCTCAGTTTCTCCTTTTTTAAAAAATATTAAGGACATTTAATGCCATTTCTGCATCTACCTGTATTTTTGTGTCCATAATTTCACAATATACAAAGCAAGAGGCTTCCCACACCTAGGTAAATTACACCAAATGGAATAAAAGTGCTTTTTCTTTGGGTAATGACACACAGATAGACTCATTACTCAACACAACAGGAAATTTAAATTGACTTTAAATTTAAATTGTCATGTGTATCAAAATATATTCCAAAATCTCCTGAAGTGTTTCTATTAAGACAAAAATCAATGAAATTACTATTGTAATTTGTTGAAACAGCAAAAAATCATCCAGTGATATTGTCTTCATAATACAAGTCCCACTCAAGCTATGACCATTCGAAGTTATGACAGTTCTGAACCAGTCCTCAACGTTTCATAAGACTTTCTAATAAGCAGTTTGGGGTAATGAAACCACATAATTTTTTCCCAATATGTTTCTTGTTTAAGTTTTTTGATGGGAGAACTGCTTTACAAAATATGAAAAAAAAATGAGGATTGTAAAATATACTGTGGCTTGCATACTGGTCTGAGAAAGGCACATTTGTTAAATTTGCATTTAAATATGAATTAAATTTCTCTTCCATCCCCTGATATGCTTCAATACAGCATAAAGAAGCAAATAGGCTCCTACTGCACATACCTTTGCATGATCCTGTCACTTTCAACACAGAATGTGTGCTACTTCCAAAAGGCACAATTGTGAAATAATCCACACTTTTCACACCCACAGTGTTTGGGCTAAACCTAACAGGGATGACTGATGTGCCACCAGCTTTAACAATGGCTTGGGTAATGTCGCAGGAAAAGACACGATCACGAAGCATTGACTCCTTTGTTCTGTCAATCCTGAATGGAGCATCAACCTGTCAAGAGACAGACAGTTAGCTCTCCCTCACTGAGCAAAGATCATTGTTTTACATTGGGCAGCAAAGGCCAAGAAAGCCTGAAACAGATTTTCTCACAATCTTGTCTTTTCTAACTTGAAAGAGTAGTCTAGCTGGAAAAGTGAGTGAAAGAACATTGGCAGCTAATGTGGTTAGACATTAAGAACCAGTGACATACTGCTTCTTTTCCATATCAGTTTTATTATTTCCTCTCCAAGGATCGAGATCCTTAACAGGCCAAGCCAGTCTTTCAAGTCTATTAACTCATTCTTACAATCAAGGATCACTGAGTTGAAAAGGAATTAGCAAAATTGCAGGCCTGTAAGTGAAACAAAGCTGCCTTCTGAAATTTGGTCACACATACTTTTACCCTCTTCCTATCACATTTCTGAGCAGATCAGTTAACTAAAGCAATGCCTGGCCAGCTTCTTACACCCAATAAAATTGTAAAAATGGTCCATTATGTTCATGTGAGTTGTTTAAATAGCAATAGGGACGACCCTAAAAAAATGATAGTTGGAGAAAGCCTTTCATCCAGATTTCTCCCTTTACTTCAGGCCCATTTTCTGAAGCATCCAGAACCCCTTCCAGATTATATTACCAATATTCAACACTATATTTGGGTTTTGCTTCTCCTAAAATTGTAAGTAAATGAATGTTAAGCTTCCACTTTATTACACTGATTTTTTAAAATTATTTTTTAAAAACTGATCGCACAAAAACTCCCAAAGAAGTCAAACATGTGACCCTGTTCCTCACAAATGTTGCCATAGCATCACTGGCATACTTCAATTGGTGCTTGAAGACACCTTCTGCCCGCCCCCCTGCCCCCCCCCCGCCCAAAAGGTATGACCTGTACAGATAAAATCATCCACTTTGAAAGTAGACGGAAAGACAACATGTCTCTGTGAGAAGAACAGGCCACATTGGATAGAACAATCCCTTCCTCACATTCAAGAAACACCTTTCCATACCACAGATACGTTCAGTATCTCCATTTCTTTCTCCACAGTGCTGTCAACAGCAACAGAGCCAAAGGAAAGCACATCCCGGAACTTTATTCGCTTGATATCTTCATAGGTGTCTTCTTGCACGTTGACCAGCAGGTGGGGATATTTACCTAGAAAAAAAATTACTGTATTTAATGATGGAGATGGCTGTGTTCTGAATTTATGTTGATTTTGACATTTGGGTCACTGCACCAATGGTGTGGCACTATTCGTGGTTTGACCTGAAACGTGTTACAAGAAAAATATTCTGGGAACATTAATTTCCCTTCTAAATTTTCCTAACATGAGTTTTATGGTGAGGAGTCAAAAGCCTTCCAAATTATGGGCAATTGACTACAAAACATGGACATGTGTGACATCAAACTTCCTATTACGGTAAAAGATGAAAAATAAGAAGAAGAAAGCTATCATTTTCTTGCAAGAAAGTAACCAGACATGGGAAAGACTTGTGAGTTTTCAGCTACAACATTTATACATGATGATCAGGAAAATAATATTTATTAGCAATTTTGGAAGTGCCCTGAGTAAAAGTTCAGAAGCCATACAATGATATTGCAAGGGAAACAAAGAAATGAATTAGATTTTTTTAAAACAGCGATAAGCTACACTGCGTAATAAGACAGGACTACATATCTTCCCAAACTCCTTGGTTTTTAACATTGCAAATGAATGTATAGGCAACCATACATGTAACCCCTAATGCATTGTTTGTCCTAGGGAGGTGAAGATGCAATAGGATATATACACACACCAGACGCATAGAGACTTAGAATGGAAGATATAATTTCTTTTTTTCCCCTACAATGATGTAGGGAGAAATTGCTATCTACCAAAGGAGAAATGAGGTGGGGATGATGGACAAACTAAGCTATTCAGCATATCTGGCTGAAGGTTAGTCAGCTGGAAGTCATAAAGATGAATGGAGCTCCCAGGAGGCTGACATTTTGCTGAAGATACATATCAAATGTTGTGTTTGATACTTTTAGAATGTACTGTAAATGTTCTTACCAACAGCTTTCAGTTTAAGAGTCTTCTGCTCCTGATTGTCTCCAAAGGTGCATGTTGCTAAAACATCATACACTAAAGCCATCTCAGGTCGGAAAGTCACCTTCATTATGCATTCTTCACCGGGATCCAACATGCCACGAGCAGGAATAAAAGAAAAAGGTTCAGGCACCTCCCAGCTGAAGCATATCAGTAGATCCCTACAAAAAAACAATCCATAAACCAAAAGTTCTTTATCAAAATTAAACAGTGTTTCTCAAAATATTGTATTATGTACCTATGTATTTATTTTATAGTAGCTGCATGCTACCTACCAGTACTTTGCAAGACTCTGGACAGGTCATAGTGGTAAAATCTCATCAAAAAAACCCCTCCCATTAAAATAACTAAATTAAATATAATTAGCTATACATCACTACTTACTAATAGTCGAAGTATAAACACCAAAAACTGTTCAACTGTCAGCATTTCTATCAAACCCTAAGAAAAGAGAATTATCTTTCGGGAAAGAAGAAAGGTTCCATTCTAATTTCAGGAAGAAGATTCCAAAGGGTCAGAACACCCATGGAGAAAACTTGATCCCATGTTGATATTTGGGAAGAAGGAACAACTGGCAAACCTTCTCGAGTCTAGCAAACTGGAGAGAAAGATTCTACTTGTAAAATACAATTTCATAAAAGTTATGGATCTGAACCATAAAAGGCTTCATAGAGCACAACTAGTGTTATGAAATATACAGTACTCCCAATCTAATGCAGCTCCCACGAAGAGGTTACGATTTTGTTAGATTGGGTCTGTCCTATCGGGAGTCAGGCCATTTCATAAGGACCAATAACCCAACCATGAGAGAAAGGGATGAGTTACATTCACTTAAGAGCATCCTGTTCCAAATATGGCTGCTTCTGTTGCTCTAGCTCAGAGATCTCCAAACTTGGCAACTTTAAGACTTGTGGACTTCAACTCCCAGCTGGCTGGAGAATTCTGGGAGTTGAAGTCCACAAGTCTTAAAGTTGCCAAGTTTGGGGACCCCTGCTCTAGCTGTAGGCAGGTGAAGATTCTTCTGATCACAGCTTCCATCTGCTATTCTAGCAGGAAGTATGAATCAAGGCAAACTCCTAGATCTTGGCCCAACATTTAGAGACTGGATAGAAGTTGTCTAAAATCTCTGGATTGAAACAGTGCCTTTGCAAAAGGGGATGCACCATTGTTTCCTTCCCAAAGATAAGTGTGATCCTCCCCTCAGAAAAGCAGTAAGTATTTCTCAAAGCTATGGACCTACCCCCTCTGTGCCATTTCAATTGATCCAAGAAAGGCAGGGATCTACTACACTTCCTCAGACATCACGTTTCAAGGAATACAAGGTGCCACTACAGTCATCTCAATGCAACCTGTCAACAACTAATCCATCTCAAAAAGAATAAAATCAGAGTAACAGCAAGGGAGATCTTCTCATCCATCATTCTCCAAGTAGCTTCAGGTAATCATTATATTGGAGATCTAACATTGGGTTCTTAACCACTTTTGGTTGTGTTTGTTCATGTTTGCTTTTCATTTTCCCTTTTGACACTAAGTATTTCTTTGTTGTTTCATTCCCTTGGATTCCTCTGAGAACCACCGCATATAGGAAGAGGCTAATCAGGAGCAATTTCATCCAATGCCTTGGCCAACTTCATATCCCAGAGCTCAGTGAGTGGAAACTTGAAACTGCCTACATGATCATCGGTACAGTTCCAAATGCACTCTGGAAAACCCTAGCATTAATAAGACACCTGAAGAGGAACTGCCTAATTGTATCCGCCCTGCATTCTGAAAGCTTCAGGGTGACAAAAATGTTGTAAGTCTGTGGTGAGTCCCTGAGACAATCCAAGGTTGCCATTATGGCCAGGAAATCCTACCTTTCCTGACGTAGCCCCAGTGCATGGAGATTGAAATTCTCCAGACCAAAGGCTTGGACAATCAAGTTGAATTCAGAGACCAGCCTGAGTTTAGAATTAGATGTTGTTCAGCAGGAAATTAAACACTATAATAGCACCCCTAGCAATTTCCTAATATCCAACTTAACACATAGGATCACTTGCAGTTATCTAAAGTAGAAGGCATCAGGATGTTGCCACACATCTTCCATGTCTTAAAGTCACACTTGCTGCAGTTACTGAAACCCAGAGCATGGCTTTTCATATAAGGACTCACTTCACATCCTTACCCAGCCATGTGTCACAGTGATATATTGCAGGCCATATAATATTGGCTAACTCAAATCTTCCTTTGTCTCCTAACATGGCTCCATATTGAAAAATCCAAATCAACAATTTCTAACAAGAATATGGCTGCTACTGGACCCTTCCATAGGAATTGTTGGGGGGGGGGGGAAATATAGCAGATGGCAGTAGCTCAATGTTTTTTCTGAGACAATGCTCACCTACTCCAAGGGAGAGACAAAGATAAACTGGGCTGATACAGAACCCTGTGGATAAAGGCTATATGGCTTGTTGAGAAGGAATCCCATCAATTTTCCTTCCAGTAAATGACAGTCATTTTCTAATCCAATGGCAGTTCTATGTCATGCTCTCAAAACTGTCTTGAGAATTAAATATGTCTTCCACCTTTATAAGTCTGGGAACTGAAGTATTACGGACTTTATTTAGTCAAGCAAAGAGTTTAATTTGCCTGTTGTTTCCTATTATGGATTCTGATAACTCTCAAAACTGCTGGTTTTGATAACACATTCTCACTTCCCTTCAGCAACCTTTCCCAGTTTGGTGCCTCCTCCTCCTATCCACCACAAGTCAGGTGAGAACTTTACTTTAAAACATCTGAAGGGTACCATGCTGGGGAAGACCATTTTACACCATCCAGAGCAGAAACGAGGAGCATTTCTGTATCTCATAGGATCTGATTGCAACCCAAAAGTAAGCAACTTTGAAGGGTATAAAAAAAAGCGCACCTACCCATTATTGTATAAAGGAAAGCAGGACTCCACAAAATGATAGACAGCACATGCAGGAAGCTGGATGGTATCTGGCAAAAGGAGATCAAGGCGTGGTAGTTTAGCTACCAGTGCAACAGAAAATTCTCCTTCTGGCTTTTCAAAGAGGATGCTATCTTCATATTCCCTCTGAATAAGAAAAACAGAAGATAATCACTTCAAATATGTGTCCTATTTCAAATGTAGTTAGGATGGACATCTCCTTGTGATGCATAAATGACAAGGGGACAGACAGATGATTGTACCTAACGAATGCCTGTGTCAATTATTTCTTCATGTTTCTTTAGGTAAGGTTTAAAATGCTTATAGAGCAAGATTGCTGTGTAGAAATATTAAAACTAAAAGCATGACAAAGCATAAAATGAACCAAACAAACAAATAAGAAGCAGATTTAGTATTAAAATATCTTCTGTTTAAATACCTCTTTTGATGATTAGCCAAAAATGGGAAGAGAACATTTTGGAAGATTCATATGGAATCAATATGACAAGATAGCAATATCTTTAATACTGTTTACTCATATCTTTGAACAAATACACCAGCTGCCTGTGCAAAACCAAAATGAGGTTTACTTCTTTTTGGCTTAGTATAATGTGTAAACAGAATTGGTGAATTAGACGTAGCTTGCTTTAGAGAAGTAAACTCCAAAATTTTTTTTTTTTTCTGCAGTTCTGGCTCAGTATAGTATGGCAACAAGGGCACAAGATTTGACTTTGATTTCCTGGCTTATTCCTGGACTGATTTTTTGTTTGTTTTGTTTTCGATGCAGGCATTTATGTGTAGCTGTATTATTAAGCATTGTATTATCCCAATCCTCACGAAGATTATTTGTTTCAGTGTCCCAAATCTCTTTGTCTGCCAAGTTGGGCAAAGAGGTAAGAGGAATTGCTGCTGTTATTTTAAATACTTATGACTCTGAAATAAGTATAAATGTGACTTACCTTTTCCAAAGGACGGAAGATAATTGGCAAAGTTAAGGACATTCCAGCTGTCAGAATAATTGGCTGTGGGAAAATGGTGATGAAGAAACGTGTAGTGGGAGGTCTGCAACAAAAGGAGCACAAAAAGGCATAAATGAGGTGATGCTGAAGAGATTCTGTGTAAACAAAGCAAAGAATTACATAATAAGTAACATTATATGGAGCATACAAAGACAACCATGCAAAATTTTAAGAAATCGAAATATTTCAAAGTCAGAGACAGAAGGATAACAATAGTATTTACAAAACTGTTAAAATGGTAACTAGGGTTAACTCTGGGCTCAAAAATATAGAAAAAAACAATCAAAAGATAGTAGCAAATGAAGAAAGAGCAATCCTGCATGGCAGCTTTAAGCTGTCCTGGGCCCAACTGAAAATGACGCCAGCTTAAGAATTCCATCCTGGATTTCAGTCTGATCCTCCATTATAGAAACAATGCTATCCATGTATTCCAGGCAACGGTGTGTCCTCACTGGTGGGTTGCCCTGCCTATGCACCCTTCCCACTAGGACTAGGAAAGCTAATGCTAGCTGCTTTCCTCTGCGTGGGTGGGTTTGGAGAATATGTGTTTTCCCATCACTGGCCTCATAGCCCCATTAGCTTTGAACCACTCTCCTGCCCTGTCAGCAATTTACCCCAGAGGCTCTTCTGCATGGATGCTTTAAGCTGCTTGTCTCTTGGGCAAAAAACAGCTAAAAATGAAGCTGGCTTAAGAACATGCTCTCCTGCTTCAGCTTTGACAATAATGCCAACCAGAGGTTTTGCCTGATGGCAGTCATCACAGCCGTTAATTCCATGCATGTACCTCACATTTTATGAACCCCCTTTCACTGATTCCTCTTCATACTTAACAGCTTTTTTGGCATGTCTGCCAGTGATCCATGAAGGTGGAAGTCCAGTCCTTCTTCCTGTCACCTGAGCTACAAGAGGGATTTTCAGAACACTTATCAATTTCATTTGTTTTTTTAAGCTTTTCATCATTCAACTGGTGAAGTTGTTAAGGGGAAAAAAAAAGGTCAAGTGTTCCACCATTGTACCATGAAAGCCTGGAGGACAATGACCAGAGGGGAGGGTTATCATCTTCACTGTGCAAGCTGCCAGTAGGAGCGGAGGCATTCTTCTAAATTGAAATGAAACACAATAGGCAGACCGAATAGCCCTACTTGGAGAAAACCCTGATATGGAGCAAAAAACAAAACATGGATAGAGATTGCTGTTGCAGTAGGATGGGTTAGGTTAAGTGTGAGATCATGAATTCCTGACCTCAAGAATCAGTTAATGGACTATCCTCATGCTGTGACATGCAAGACAGGCAGATAAGTTCCAACTTGTTAGGTTTGTTTTAGAAAGGATAAGATAATAATTCTAGACTTCCAGATTTAATACTCAAGAAAACCCCCATTGATATCTCAAGGAATTACTTCCAAGGAATTCCACATAAGATCCGGCTGGACAAAACTTAAACAATAAGATCTGGACTAAGCAATGTGAAAAATTATCTGGATTTACACATTGAGCTATCATACCTCCATTGTTTAATCCTGATTGGTTGAAAAATCAACAATTGCCTGGATATATGCCTTGTACAAAACCAGAGAATATAGTCTATACACCATAATGTGTAGAAAGGAAGCAAAGCCAAAACCAAGCAAGTCATAATGTGGCTCTGCATAAAACAGAAAGTTAAGTTTATGACATTTAAAATAGCTGCTAAGATTCAAGAGAACAATATCCAATTTCAGGAGTGTTTTTCTTCAATATAATTTGGGTTATGTGAGGAACAGCCAAAAAAATAACAAATGGTAAAAAGTAGGAAAAGCTACAGAATAGCAAATGAAAGCTCCTTTTACTATTGCATGATGTACAAACCTGAACTTCAGCTTCTGGGGTTTCAGACACACATTTCTTAATATTAGATGTTTAGTGAATTCCCTTCCTAGAGACCATCTTTGCCAGTTGAGGCTCTCAGCTACTTCAATACCCCAGAAAATATTCTTCTTAGGTTTTCTCACAGAGGAATCGATAGATGTCTGGGAAACCCCCGTCAGCTTCTGAAGAAGTGGAAAAACCAAGATATGGCTTAGCTAGCTTATTGTGTCATCTGAAGGCTGATAACCAATTTTATCCAGCCAATTAATACAAGGAACTATACCCTCCCACTAATGTTTCCAGCAGTTAACCTGGGATACTTTAGACCAGGGGTGTCAAACTCAATGGCCACAGGTCAAATCCAGCCCGCAGGGTGCTTAGATCTGGCCTGCAGGGCCGCCCTGGAAACAGCAAAGGATTGGCTCATGGACCTTCTGCCAGCAAAAATGGGGCTCGGGAGGGTTACACGCAGCCCGCCCAGGCTCCATTTTTGGCTACGACGATCTCCTGCAGCTCTCTGCCAGTGAAAACTGAGCCCAGGGGCCTGTTTTAACTGGCAGAGCACTTTGGCCACTACAGGTGCCCCAACACAAGTGATGTCAAGGTGGCCACGCCCCTCTGGCCACGATCCCCCCAGCCCCCCCAGCCCCCCCCAGCCCCCCCAAGTTCAAACACAACCCTGATGCAGGCCTCAGAGAAATCAAGCATGGCACTCCTGGTTTAAACAATATAAGTGAAAATGGATTTCAACATAATGGCAATTACAAATCTCATACTAACTAAATTAGAAAACCTACGATACACACCTGCTTGGTACCACTGCGATAGTCTTTGAATGGAATCTTTCTTGGGTGTACATGATCCATGCAGATGAGTGAGCATTTCTGCATCTGAGAAAATGAAAAGCAAAACCAAATTATACAACATTATAGAGCATTAAACATGCTAATGATAAGAGGCCATCTACTATATTTACCTAAAGAAGGCAAAATCCTCAACAGACTCATTTATTTTTCCAGATTTTGTTCTACTGTACTTTATTAATTTATTTGATTCTTTTTGTTAGTTTTTATTGTTTTTTAAAAAAAATATGGTTTTACATTCTGTAAGCCACCTCAAGTCACCATGGGCAAATAGGCAGCAATATAGATTCAATAAATAATTAATAATAATAATGATTAAGGTGATTTTACAATTGCAGAGGGGTATCTTAGATTGGCTTAGAATTTAGAAATGGAGGCAGACTGGTTTCTTCTATCTAAACTTCCTTGTAAATGGGTTGTCTTAAATTCAGGGCTACTTTCTATAGAAGGTAACAATATGATCTTACTGAAATTATAGTCCTGACTGCTTCTTTCCAGAAAATATTTTTAAAACTACAGAAATGTTTTTAACACCAAACAGCCATTATTTACTCAGAAGTAAAACCTAAGAAGTTCAAAACTTTCTATTCACACGTTTCTGAATTCCAGTATCATAGTCTCAAATAAGCTCCAAAAACAGGAGTTTTTGATCATTTTATAGTATAATCTCTCAATTAAAAAAATACAAGTGAAAAGGGCATATGCTGACTCCATAAACCACTTAGAGAGGGCTGTAAAGCACTGTGAAGCAGTACAGACATCTAAAGGATATTGTTATTTGATCAAATCCTAACACAGCTCCAATCTTATCTTGTTTACTTGAAGGTAACTCCTATTAAGCTCAGTCAATGTAACGATCCAGTTCTTATACACAAAATGTTCAAGGCCAACTATCATTCCTTTCCAAATCCTTTCCAACTTTATGAACCACCTCATCCCCACCCCGACTTTATACAAATCAAAGAAGGAAACTACCAGGAGAGGTTTCTCTGAAGTTCACCATGACCTTGCCTCTGCTTGAGAGATCCAGAATAATTGTACAGGGTAAAATACTTTCATAAGGATTGTCAGCTATTATTAAGCACAGCAGAAAGCAAAAGATTATTAGTGAGTTAAGGGATATGCAGTATACCATTAAGGCAAAAAGACCATCTTGCACTGGCCATTTGATAACACCCTTATACAAATTGTAACACTTGGAACATGAAGGTCAGGAAGAGATGAATAAACAGTGCCTGGGCAAGAACTGCTCTGGGAAGGCAGGCTACATCTAGCCAGGGATTTGGAGAAGTTTTTGCTGCCATCTAGTGTTTCTCCAGATGTTTGCAACCAGACATAGTAATTCTAGCTAAAGGAATTCCGAAGCCCCATTCCTCCGTTTCTATCTATTGGCTGGTGGTAGCTCGTTTGCCTTATATATAGACACCTGCATGCATGCCTTACATGATGGGTACAGTATATGCATGCACATATATAGGCATACATGTTGTGTTAAGGAGAAATAATAGGAGACCCAACATCGCATCTACCCCACTCCCGTAAACCTTTAGTGGGCGCTGATCCTGGGTGCTGGAAGACCCTACCAGGAACACCACCTTCGCCCAGCTCAGGAAAAGAATGCTTCGGAACAGAAACACAAGATCAAAGAAGCTGAAAAACGCGAGACGCCGGCGTTGCTACGGAAACAATACGCGGAAGTAGCTGCCAGTTTCCCGGGCAACCAAGAACGGTAGCTGAAGAGGAACATTCTTCCTCTCCGTCTCCCTGCTTTAACGCGAAAGAGCAGAGAGAGCGAGTAGCCTTTGGGGGAGAAAGAGAGGCGATCAGACTGCTCGGATAAGGCAGTCTCTGGAATGGGGCGGGCCCCTAAACCTAAAAGTAAAAGAGATGCTTCCCTATGGTCTCTGAGCGGGCGTTGTGAACTACGCTTTCACCCGAGGCGGAAGCTGGCTGGTTTTCTCCCGATTCTTAACTCGGTGGGGCAGAAGAGCCGACTGGAAGTCTGGCCACTTTTCTGAATTGCAACCTTTTCTTTCTTTCTGGAGGGAAAGGAGAAAAATCTGAGCAAATAAGCGGATTTATTGTATGTGATCTCCTTTTCCAAACAACTTCTATTTGCTCTACTTAATTTGTTCTATTAGTCTGACGTTGCTGCCTTAGATGATTTCTTACTGAGTTGCAGCTCTTCCTTCTGCTCTCCCTCCGCACTTAAAAAAAAAATCGTCGTATCTTAATCTCGACATGTCTGTTTAGGAACAGTCTTTTTTTTTCCTCCTCCTTTCTTCCTTCTTTTTGTTTATTTAAGATTTAAATTCAAATTTAAATTCATTCTGCACGTCTCTAGTAAAACCTGTTTGAGTGTGATTTTGGGCATTTCCTCAGTTCTAAATATTTTCTGTTATGGTAAACGATAAAACATAAAGTTAGAAAAGCTACTCGTAGGATGCCCTGGGGAAAAAGGAGAATAGATTTATAAAAATATTCAGCATATTAGGGGGCGTGCATAAGCGCACCAATGTGCATACCGTCCCTGTCCTATTGTTTCTTTTATTTTTCTTACATGTATCCATGTATTCATAACTATGTTTATACTTATACCTATTATCTTGTAAGCAATTGACAAATAAAATAAAATAAAAAAATATAAATCCTCCCCCACATATGTTCTTATAGAATCATTATGCAATATGGTCAGATATTTGCAAATTTATTTATTTGTTGAATTTATATTGCCGCCTATTCACCCATGGAGACTCGAGGAAGCTTACAGAATGTAAAACCATATTTAAAACAAAAATAAAAACTAACAAAAAGAATCAAATAAATTAATAAAGTACAATTGAACAAAATCTAGTATATAACAAATACAAATATAAAGTAGAATAAAATTATTAGTAATGCTAATTAATAGTTATATTAACAATGAGTAAATCATCTATATCAGTTATTCTACTAATTATTAGTAGAGTCACTTCATTTTTAGCCTCAAGGAGAGGTATTGGTTTATTCTGTACAGCCCAACATATTTCTCAAGCTTCAGATAGTCTTAGAGTCAGACAAACCAGTCTTGGAATAGTTTTGTATTGACTAAATCATGAAGTGTTTTCTTCTGCTCAAGTTTCATATCCTAGAAAGAAATGTCTGGATCCTAGAAACACCCTTGCAAGTGCCCTTGGGTTTGAGGTAGACTGCAAAAGATGTTTCTTTAATATGGTATATCTGTTTACTTTCTGAGTCACGCTGCTGTATGACATTAAATCAACCCCGTTCCCTCTCTCTCTAGTACCATTGCTCCCCTCAAATTGGACAGGAGCCCAGATATAGCAGAAACACTCATAAATTAGAGCCATTAAATAACATGCTTTCTGCAGCATCAGGGACCCGCAAACAGACTGAGCGTGAGCTGAATGCCACTATCTATCACTTTAATGGGTGTACTCTGGAAATTAAACCTGTCACAGCCCATCAAAGGGAATGTTTCAGCCAGTGACATTCTGATATGTTCATTTCTTGCACGTCTTTCTTTGTTTCTTGCCACCTTCCCTGTGTGCTTCCACTTAACCCATGACCTTTGATACTTTGGAGCTCTGAAGTCAGGCCATAAGGTTGGTTCTAAGGATGTGAGTGGCCCTCAGTCTTCCATCAGAGCCCAACAAAGCTGTTCTTAAAAGGCCTGTCATTTGCTTTCAGAAGGGGATAAGCAGGACTTTAGGAAAAGATAATAAGCAATCCTTGTCCTGCTTTAGGAAAAAAATGAAAAATCCAAAGAGATAATACTTTGATTAGGCAACTATTTTTATGGGTTCTTTTCTTAGAACATTTTATCATGTTTATAAACCAGGAAAAAGGCAGGAGGAAAAACTTGATTATTTTTTCAATCTACTTATATAATCTTGATGGAGTGAGAGCTTTCAGGCACATTCAAATTGAGTGTTGGAAAATTCAAGATGGTGTTGGAAAGCCTGATAGGTGAGGGAAACAGGTGGTGGGTTTTTTTGGTCCCATTTTTAGAAACTTTTAAAATTGGTTGCAGCATATAGCCAATGTTAGTTGATCTCAAAAGAATGCCAAGGAGGGTGAGACTTGTTTGGCCCTGGGATGAGAAGTCACCAAAAAATCCCAAGGCTCTAAGGTAGAAGAAGTCAAATCATTGTGGACAAAGACAAACTTTTATCTCCCAGCCCCAAATATACAGGGACTTGAGCTAGTCTTGGACAAGTCCTTATCTTTACATCCAAAGTGTTTCCATCTCAAGTAACCCAGAAAAGGGAGAGCTTAACAAAAAACCCATTGGAGATCTTTTCCTCAAATATCAAAAGCAGTGGACTGAAAGAGACTGAATTTAAAATGTCAATGACAATTTTTTTCCTTCTCTTTTTCTTAAACATATTCAAAATCAGGCAGCAATAATTGAGAAAATAAGAAAGACCAAGGAGAAATTGCAGAGTTGTTTTACATAATTCTTGGTATCGTTCAAGTTAGTTCTGTGAAATTCAGAGCAGTGGGACATCTAAGTCTTTGCTGCAGATATTGATTGCACCCTGCACTTACCTGCATCCAAAGTGGGCTGCATGGGAACTCCGGGGAGGGGAGGGGAGGGGAGGGGGGGCCAGCCAGGAGTGGGATTTGGGAGTTCTCCGAATTGCACAGAATCTTAGTTAGGGACTCTCCCAAACCCCTGCGAACCCCCAGCACCCCGCCCCTGCCCACACCCCATTTTCGCTAGCAGAGGCACTGCAGCCCAGTCTTTTGCTATTTCCAGGCTGGCCCCACGGGGCCAGAATTAAGCACCCTGCGGGCTGGATCCAGCCTGTGGGCCTTGCGTTTGACACCCCTGAACTAGATGCTGTTAATGTGGGGACTGCATCAGCTACCAGCTAGTTTACCAGATAGTAACCAACCTTCAGTTTCACCTTCTTGTGGTGTGTTGTTGAACTCCTTGGCAATGAGTGGGTGTAGACCAGTCATATTTTTCAACCAAAAACCATGCGGTTCATCTTCACCTGGCGCTGACCAATTTTTGATCTTCTTTGCCCTTTTTCCACTATTCTGTTGTTATTACTGTTACTTTCAGCTGTTTATCTACCGCCTTTATTGAACCTGCCTTCTTGTTGCAGTTCTTTGGGTTGTTCCTTGGCGACGCTTAGAAATGCAATTTTGTCCAGTGTTGACCGCTTCACTGCAATCTCCACTGATGGATCGGTCTTATTGTTACTGCCATTTAACAGATGTGCCTTCCCATTTTATCTGTCCCTTTTCTAATTGCCATGGTTTACTGTACTTGACTCAATTATTTGTTACGTATCACTTTGAGAATTCTTTTTCTGAAAGTAACACCACTGTTTTTTTCATATAATTTAGAAATTAAATGGAGCAAAACTTTGTAGATGCTTTGTGAATACTCCTTTTTTTAAAAAAAAAATCTTGTTCAACTAACCATGATACATGATTGATGGGCATTCAGAGGAATGCTTCAGAACATGGGGGTCTAAAAAGAGGAAGGATTCCAGGTCTTTCTATATAAACCAACCTTTAAAAAAATACACATCCATTGGATAGCATGTCTGGATGCTTAGGAACTGAGTATAGAGATTAATAAAGGCTTAATAACTTGGATGGATAACTCCTGACTGGACATATTGGCAAGTGTTCAGCTGAATGGTTGACTATCTACTGTATAGAGGTTTTTACTTGGGGAACAGGAGAGCACATCTCAGAAATGCCTATAGTTTGGGAGCATAAATAAACATTGTGGTTGCCACAAATTGTAGCCTAGCCTAAGCCTTCAAATTTGTCACAAAAGCGAAGTTTCCCTTACTATTATGTATTCAAAAATATATGATGATTACGATAGAATAACCTTTTGGAGTTATATTAAGAACTGATGCCTTGGAACTGTACGCTGATGAAGGAAAAATATATATTCCGTTATCTAGTATTTGACCGTGCAGCTGGATCTTATGCATTTCTTCCTGGAAGCAAATCCAACTGGTTTTCTTGGGGATTATTCCCTGGAAAAAATGCATAGCATGTATGCAGGACTTTGCTATATTCATTTTGATTTGCATATCTTTTTTGCTGGCAAAACAATTACATGAATTGTATTCACTAACTTGCATCAAAAATGCCTGTAGACAGAATTCCTACTAGGGTTATTATTTCCCCAGGCTTCATTCCCTCTTTCTGAATCTTTTCTGAGCACTGTGTGTAGATGGCCCCTGAGTACTTAATGTATTCATTCCTTCTTTTTCAGATCAGCTTCCCGTCATCTCACTCTCCACATGTTCTGTTTCTCTTTGCTGCAGTTAGTAGAAGCTACCAAACAGAGGGAGATTTTGGTCTTCTCCTGACAACCAGGATTGTCAAGACACTATTTCAAACCTTTAATTGAGCCCGGATCATAAAGGGCTGAAAACTAATGATCTGTTTCGATATTTCAGGCTAGAAACCTCTAAAATTGAAATAGAACTTGGTTCCATCTCAGCCATAAATGTTAATTGTGTATGGATAGATGGATGATGCCTTGAAATCATGATTAGCAAAGCAAATCCCAGCCTGTTGTCCTGTTGAAGTCATCATCTTTATAGCCAGGCAAAGGGAACACCCAGGCAAGGACTGCCTTCATTCCCACCCACCCACCCCCAATACAGTTACAGAACAATTACACGATAAATAGATTCCAAACACACATAAATTAAGCAGCACAGTTTTACCAGGGCGCTAGCCCAGGTAGAGTCCTTCTTTTCTAAAAGTTTATGAGCAGGAGAAGAGCACCAGGCTAATTTTGATGGTCTAGTCTAGAGCCAGTTTCTGGAAGCTCTCACTGTCTTTCTTCTGGGGCTCAACCACATCTGCTCATAGCAGCACATTCCTCTCCCTGTGAGTAGCGTTCTCCACTTCCTCTTCCTCTTCTGAGCCCGAGGGGTCTGAGCTGAAGCTGAAGGTGTCGGTATCACGGTGCAGGAATTGCACACTGGCCCTGTGTTTCTTACATTCGTCACCACAGCTCTCTTCTTCGTCCTCTTCCCCTCGCGCCTCTCCAGGCAGCAGTTTCTCTGGGGCCTTGGTTGCCACCCTCTGCTTCTCCACCTCAGCCTGAGTTACCTGCTCCTTGGCCTTCCGACTTCGCTTCCACTTCATCCTGCGGTTCTGGAACCAGATTTTGACCTGAAAGAAATGAACAGGCAAAGGTTGACCACACGCCAATGACCCTTCGGCACTCTCCCAGCTTCTTTACCAGTGATGGCTAACCTTTTAATTATTGCATGCCGAAAGCGTGTGTGCGTGCGTGCCTGCACCTATAATGCAATGCTCATGCGCCCTTGCTCCCCTGTGCATGTACATGTGACCCCCATCCTCCCCAGGACCCCTGTGCATGCGTGTGCAACCCCCCCGCACACGACCCGTTCCTCTGCACATGCGCACATGTCTCCTGCGCTCACCTTACCCCCTGCACATGCACAGCAGATACCTGACAATCAGCTGGCTAGTGGGAGGCCCATGTGCATGCGCAGTGGACCTGATCTGGGGCAATGGCTCACATCCCGGCAGAGATGGCTTTGTGTCCCACTTCTGGCATGCGTGCCCAGGAGTGGGATTCAAATTTTTTAACAAACGGTTCTGTTGGTGTGGATTAGTTGGTGGGTGTGGCTTGGTAGTCATCTGACTGGCTGGGTGTGGCCAACTCAACATCACTCACATCGAGGGATGCATCTCCTCGCCTGGCCTCTCATGACTGTGGGGATGCTGCAATAGTTGTAAGTGTGAAAAACGGTCATAAGTCACTTTTTTCAGTGCCATTGTAACTTTGAATGGTCACTCCACACAAGCAAAGTACCAGCAAAGGAGGGGGAAAAAAACTTCCTGAGACAGGAAGTCTAGTCCTGCCAAGAATGTAATAAGGGTTAATGGAGAGGCAGTTTCTGTAAACAACACCAGAATGTTTCCTTCCTGCCTTCCTTACAGGATTAGGCCAGTAATTTCTTCTAATAACCAGTTCTCTGAATTGCTTAGAATGTTAACAACCAGTTCTAGCGAATAGGTGCAAACTGGTAGAATCCCACCCCTGCGCGTGCCATAGGTTCGCCATCACGGTTCTCCACTATCCTTGAGAAGCACAGATCAAGGGTGGAGAACTGCCCTCTCTGCAACTTAGCTGCCAATGACTTAAAAAACAAAACCTCAATATTGGTCCAGTACCTTAACCACCCGTCCAGGGACCAATAGACAAAAAAAAGTACTTATTTCCATTATTTAGGCCGGTTTCCGCAGCCCATAAAAATCTCTCTCTGCAAGACTGCCTTGCAATTTCATCAAAGACTGTAGAAAATTTCAGAGTGGTTTGTTTGATTGTTAAATGTATATGCCACCCAACTCCCAGAGAAGAAGGTGCTTTTTTTAGTGAGACAATCTGCATTTCTGAATTGTTACAACAAAGTAATTGCTGTTCCATTTAGCGAAGTATGAAGCAAATCCCTTTTATGAAGGGGAATGTGGGGCGGGGAACAGAACGAATTAGATATCTACTTTCTGATGATGGGAAACAATTTTGACATTGGTTCTAAAATGCAGAGGACTAGCGTATCTACTTCATGCTCATATGAGGGCAAGAGTGGACAGCTGTGCACTGCAAGCTTGATGAGACCTAAAGGGCCTCTCCATCTCACCTCCCTTCCAGGCTGTGCCATCTTCATGACACCCATGATGAACAGTGGGAAATGCACAGGCTGCTTATTGGGCATGAAAGAGATGAGGAGGAGGGATTACAAACTGCAGGGAATATATTAGTAATTATGTATATGCCATACAGGTAGTCCTCAGCGTACGATGACAATTGAGCCCAAAATTTATCTTGCGAAGTGAGAAATTTGTTAAGTGAGTTTTGCCCCATTTGATGACTTTTCTTGCCCCATTTGTTAAGTGAGTCACCGCCGTTCTTAAATTAGTATCATGGTTGTTAAGTGAATCTGGCTTCCCCGTTGAATTTTCTTGTTAGAAGGTCGCAAAAGGGCACTCCGTGACTCCGAGATACTGCAACCGTCCTAAATGTGAGTCAGTTGTCAAGCATCTGAATGTAAATCACGTGGCCATGGGGATGCCACAACGGTCATAAGTGTACAAAAAGGGTCATAAGTCACTTTTTTCAGTACCACTGTTGCTTTCAATGGTCATTAAATTAACTGTTGTAAATTGAGCACTACCATTATTTTTATTTTATCATATGCCACTGTTTTAATTACGTGGTTTCCAGATATATGCTCAAACAAGGCAACTCTGGGTGTCAAAATCCCAGAGGCAAAAAAATCAGTTTGCCCCTTTACCCAGTGGTGGGATTCAAAAACTTTTTACTACCGGTTCTGTGGGCATGGCTTGGTAGGCATGGCCATGTGACTGGGTGGGCGTGGCTTGTTTTGCATCCCCCACCCACTTTGGGGAGCTTCCTAGCCTCAGAGGAGCCTCGGGGGGGGGGGGGGTGTTTTCCTCCCCCAAGGCTCCTCTGGGGCTCGGGAAGGAAAAAAATGGGGGGGGGGGGGGGCTGAGCTCTTCCCTCCATTTTTTGCCTATCTGGGCCTCGGCAAGGGGAATCCCGGCACAGCTGATCGTATCTACGGGAGGGAAAAGAAAAAAAGAAATACCTTAGGCAAATATCAGGCAGGCAGGTGGGGTGAGCGAGCATCGGGCGGGAGGGTGATCAGGTGGGGGGGCGTGGCCAGCCAGAATTTACTACCAGTTTGGCAACCCATGCTAAATTCTTGCTAAATTCTTGCTTGATCCGGTGCAAACCGGTTGAATACCACCACTGCATTCTCACCATCTCAGTGGTGTTATTTTTCCACAAGCTAATCTATTCTGTTTTTTTTTTTTAATTCCTTCCATGACTATCAGCAGATGGCAGCACTAGCAGACCTTGGCTCTTCCCACAGAACAGATCATCAGTTCTGATTAGAGGTAGCAGCGGGAAATCCCAAGGATGCAGATGGAATGGGAAGGTTTTTTTAAAAAAACATTCCAAAAAGAAGACAAGCCATTTTCACATTGTTACCAGAAAGCCACCTGGAGGTGTCCATGAAATCACCATCTCCGGGGGGTGGGGTGAGGGGTGAGTCTGCCTACCGAGATGAGGTAGACTGGTTGCTTTTGTGGTGTGGAGATAATAACTTGATCCTCAACACCAATAAGATCAAGGAGCTTATAGTGGACTATAGAAGGAACAGATCAGACATCCAGCCCTTGTTTATCAATGGAGACGGAGTGGAGCAAGTGGCCAATTTTAAGTTTCTGGGTGTTGCCATAAAAGAGGACTTAATCTGAGGTGCCCACATTGCAGCCCTGGTCAAAAGGGCCCAGCAGAGATTATACTACCTGAGACTTCTCAGAAAACAACAACTGAATGAAAAACTGCTGTTGACCTTCTACCACTGCACCATAGAGAGTATCTTATCTTACTGCAGCCTGTGTATGGTTTGCCAGTTGCACAGTGGCAGATAGGACAGCACTCCAGAGGGTTAACATCATTGCCCAGAAGATCATTGGTTGCCTTCTCCCCTCTTTGGAAGAGCTTTATAGCTCCCCCTGCCTTAAGAAAGTTCAAAACATTCTCAAAGATCCATCTCATCCTGGGAACCCCCCCCTTTTTTTTTTTGAACTACTACCATCTGGCAGATGGTACAAAATAATAAAAACAAGGACAAATAGGTTGAAAAACAGCTTCTATCCCAGGGCAGTAGCTCTGTTGAATTCTACTGTATAGTGCAATGTTGGTGCGGTGTCAGGGGTTTTCAATTCAATGTGTAGAGTGTGAAGAACGTTTGTTTGTGTTTATTTTCATGGTCATGATGTGCACTGAAAATGGTGTTTGATTTCATTGTACGAGGTGCAATGACAATAAAGTAAACTAAACTAATCCAGGAGTCGCTCTTGACTCAAGGGAGATTTTGCAAATTATAAAGCTGCTGGTATTAAGCTGGTATGTGCACATTTAATGTATTTTGTCCCCACAGATAACTTCCTTGACAATGTGTGCAAGGCACTGAGATTATGCTTCTCTTCCCTGGGTGATACCTGTGTCTCCGTTAGCATCAGTGATGTGGCCACTTCGAAACGTTTGGGCCTGGAAAGGTACTTGTTGATCTTGAACTGGTTCTCCAGCTCAAGAAGCTGTTGGCTGGTAAAGGCTGTTCGGGGTCGACGGCATTTTCCCATCAGGTTGGTTGGTGGGGAAGCTGAAAAGAAAAAGTAAAGTCAGGATGTGGTCCACAATGAAAGGATTGGGAGCCCCCAAGTAGCACGCTCCAGATGCACCCTTTTTAACACTTCTCCGCTTACTGACCTGAAACAAAACTCTGTATCATTGCTTAGATTTCTACTATGCAGATGTTTGCAGGAGGCACCAACACATTCAGAAGCTTACACATGTCTTTTTTGTTGTGGTGGTAAACTATTATTACTAAACACCATCAGGGGTCTGTATGCTCACTTTAGCAATCCAAAACTTACACTGTTTATATATCTTAATGTAGAACGTATTACTAATAAAGGAGAAGCTAACACTGACGATGTCACCCAGTTAGGGTTATAAAACACCTGCAAGAAAACAAGCAGGCTCCGAGAGTACCAAGGACCTCTCTCGTAGAATGTTTTATTTCTGTAAATCAAAATACATCTAGTTGCTCTACTAGGAGGTCAGGCAATAGAAGAGGTTGACTTCTCAATATTTCACTTTCTTCCTAGTGATGGAGAAGGACATTTCTAATATTTCCCTCACAACTTTGAACCAAATATACTGCTATCTCCAGTTGGTATTTATACATAAAGAGCCGCTGCATTGCTGTTGATGCTGTTATTATTTCATATTTAAATAACATTGCTGCCATATCTAAAAGCATTTGGATGCTACCATTGGTTATAAAAGGTCAACTGGGTATTAACAAGCCAATAAATGCAACCATTTGCTTGTTTGGTGGCTCAGTGGTTAGGGTGCAGTACTGCTGGCTACTTCTGCTGACTACCAGCTGCCTGCAATTTGGCAATTCAAATCCCATCAGGTTCAAGGTTGACTCAGCCTCCCATCCCTCTGATGTGGGTAAAATGAGGACCCAGATTGTTGGGGGCAATATGCTGACTCTGTAAACCGCTTAGAGAGGGCTGTAAAGCACTATAAAGGGGTATATAAGTTTAAGTGATGTTGCTATTGGCAACTGTTAGATAAAATGACTGCCATATTTTACAGATGAATATGCAGTGGGGATTTCTTTTTTTCTGCTCTTTCCTGGTGGTATTTTTTTATTTTTTTTGCTCATATGTCTTTAACAGAAAGCTACCATGCAAACATTAAGCAGCTAATTATCTCTCCACAACCATATTCAGGGAAAGCTTCACTTATTGGTGTTATTTATAAATGAAGATTTTTTTTCAACAAAACAGTCTTTTATAACAGGTACATAATTCCCTTTGGGATGTCTTTCATTTTTGTCCAACTGCTCTTTGCTGCTTTGTTGGTATTTTTCTTCACCATGAGAGTTGGAAGGTTGAACTTTATCCAGCCTTGAAAGGCTTCTTATCTCTCAGCTAATTATCTTATAGTCTTGATATGGTACAGTAATCAAACAAAGGCAGCCTCATAATAATTTATTTTTATTTCTGTTATGATTTACTGTATACCTTGCCTTCTGGCAAACAAGGCAAAGCTCCCTAGAGAAAAGGGGCATTCAAAGGTAATACGTTTATAAATACATTTTCTTCCTGGTAGCATGATTTCAAGAGTTTAGATAACACTTATATATTCTAACATTCCATATCCTAATGTCTGAATACTGCATTGGGCCTGAAAAATGTCAGGTGTCCCCTTCATGCAGTGAGAACCTCTCACTCTTTTTCACAAAGCAGTCATCTGGAATTTTTAGCACAGTTTTTATTTTCATAAATATTATCATGAGGGTATTATCAACTATTAAATATTATCAACAAGGGTCTAATTTTATTGACTGATGGGGTGGGATTCAAATTTTTTAACAACCGGTTCTGTGAGTATGGCTTAGGTGGTGGGTGTGGCTTGGTGGTCATGTGACTGGGTGGGCATGGCCAACTCAATATCACTCACATCGAGGGACGCATCTCCTCGCCTGGCCTCTCATGACTGTGGGGATGCTGCAACAGTCGTAAGTGTGAAAAATGGTCATAAGTCACTTTTTTCAGTGCCATTGTAACTTTGAATAGTCACTCCACACAAGCAAAGTACCAGCAAAGGATGGGGAAAAAAACTCCAGAGACATTCCTGAGACAGGAAGTCTAGTCCTGCCAAGAATGTAATAAGGGCTAACAGAGAGGCAATTTCTGTAAGCAACACCAGAATGTTCCCTTCCTGCCTTCCTTACAGGATTAGGCCAATAATTTCTTCTAACAACTGGTTCTCTGAACTGCTTAGAATGTTAACAACTGGTTCTAGTGAATAGGTGTGAACTGGTAGAATCTCACCCCTGGATACCACATAATCAGTTCAGAATGAGAACAGGAAATGTTACATAAATTTTGAATGGGTAGGTTTTCATACCTGTCTCTCTCATTCTCTCTCATTCTGTCTCTGTCTCTGTCTTTCTCTGTCTCTGTCTCTCTTTGTCTCTCTCTCTGTCTCTCTCTCTCTGTCTCTCTCTCTCTTCCTCTCTCTCTCTCTCTTTCTGTCTCTCTCTTTTTCTGTCTCTCTCTTCCTCTCCATCTTTCTTTCTCTCGCTCTATCTTTTCTTCTGTGTGTGTCTCTTTCTCTGCCTCTGTCTCTTTTTCTCTCTTTCTCTGTCTGTCTGTCTCTGTCTGTCTGTCTCTGTCTCTGTCTCTCCCTCTCTCTCTCTCTCACACACACACACACACACTCATGTGCACATAGATGGTGCTTTTTGTAGGGAGTAAAAATCTTTTCAAACCAACTTTCACAGAACTTACTAATCCTTTCATATACCCCCCTAATAACTTACATACAATAACACATGAATATCTAGGGGTAGCATTTCCTTTCTACCGGTGGCATTTTATTAAGTTTGTCAGGCTTGGCAGACTATATGAAGAGGGAGGGAAGCTTGATATGTTGAGCCTGTTTCTTTTCCTTTCAAATAATGATTTTATGACCAGGCTGATATTAACCTGTTTGATAAGCTATCAGCCCTTGCTTTAGAAATTATAATCAATTCCGTTGGTGAAATTAAACCGCCTTTATTAGCATAAGGTGTATTTAATTACCTCCAGCTGTTCCAGGGAGTGATAAGGGCAGCCTGCCTCCACAGAGGCTTAGCCCAGGACCTGGCTGGCTAATAAGCTGTTATCAGAGCATAAATGCTGAATGGGGAGAAGGGTGGAGGAACAAAAGAAGCTTTGAGGGAAGGCTGTAGCTTGCCCCACATGGGCAGAACAGGAAGGGTGTGCTTGACTCTACCACTATTGCTCATTTTATGGGCTGCCTCCTGGATTAGCTTTTACAGCCCTTGGCTAAATAGAGAATAAACACTCAGGGGTGAAAGTGGGCTGGAAGAGATAGTTACAGAGAATCAGAGAAACATGAGAGTTCCCAATAAAGGCAAAACCCACTGAGCGTGTTTAATGGGTCTGGAGGAGTAAGCCATCAAACATATAAGAAGGGTTCCATGCTGCAGAAGAAGACAGGCAGATGCCACAAGACTTCACCCATTCCCCAAACTTCATTCTCGTGGAATTTGGAGTTGCCTCTGAAGCTTCAGAAATGGGCATCCTGTGTTTGGGGATAGGAAATACTCAAAAATGTAATCTGAAGTGTAAAATATGCTTTGGGTGATCCTTCAGTGGCTTTCAATTCTTCATGATCCAATGGACATTTTAAAAAAGACATACTCCAATCACCCTGCAAACAATTCATGAAAATTCTAAAACTTTCTTGTGCATGAGATGGTTTTCTTCACTTTTCATCATCACCCACCCAAGATTTCACTGCCCACCCCCTCCAAAAAAAAGTATGGCCCTCAGCCATCCAAAGCATCCCTCCCAAGAAACCATTGACTGTTTTGATTATTGCCTTAAATGATAGTTCATAGTTTCAATTATTGCTAGCACCTGGCAAACCTTGTCTGCACCCAAAAGTTTAAACAGGGTCTAGATTTAATGGAAATCCTAGAGGTGAGGCTAGATTGAAATACTGGGGAAAATATCCTATCAGAAAACATGTATAAATCAATTCCATTTTGGTATTCATTTTTGCTGTACCTGAGGACACCTTTACGTTTGGACTATATTACCTCCTTCTGCACCAGAAATAGTAATCATCTGTAGGCTCTAACATCTAAAAGAACCTGACAAAGAGTTTTCCCCGTAGCCTTTAGTTATCTGCCGTGAATGTCAAAATCTTAACTTTTATCTCATGGAATATTGGGGTTTTTGCTGTTCTGCTTCTGTGGCAGGAAGGGAAGAAGATAGATATAGAAATAAACTGAAGGATTTATTCACATGAAATTGTGAAGGAAATTGCAGATGTTAAAAATGATACTGTTTTTGATGACATTAGCACAAATATAGTATGGGACACACCCGACTTTGCAAAAATAATAATAATACTGGAATGGCCCTTATTGGTATATCTCTTAAAAAATAAATGCAATTTTGGATGGCACCAACAGAAGCATTGCTTTCAAATTATGAGAAATTATAATAACTATTCCACTTGATTCTGCATTGATTCTGCATTCCACCTTCAATATTATGTCCCATTCTGGATGTTGCACTTTAAGAAGAATTTCTAGAAAACGTAACAGGTACAAAGAACAAGAGAATGATCAAAGGACCAAGATTGAAATGCTGCTCACCACAATACAAAAAAAGACACCAAGTCCCTAGAAATATTGCAGAGAAGAATTACAAAGATGATAAATGGCCTGAAAGGGAGTCCTGTGAAGAACAGCTAAAGGAACGAGGTCTGTTTGGCTTAACAAAGAGAAGAATGAATGGGGACATAACACTCTTCCAATAGTAGAAGGGCTGGAAAAGGGTTTGGATTTAGTCTCCATAGGATCTGAGGATAAGACAAGAAGCAATAGGTGGAAACTCATTAGAGGGAGAACCAAAGTGGAAATAAGGAGGAATTTCTTGACAGTGAGAACTAGGAAGTAATACAGCAGCTTGCTTCTCACAGTTGTGGGTGTTCCATTGCTGGAGATTTTTGAGAAAAAAAATGGGCAACCATTTGTCTGAGATAGCAGTTACCGATAGAATG